TTTATCTCTGAAGCTCTTAGATAGTCATTAAAATGATTAGTCTTGATCCATTTAGGGTACTGAATCCCATAAATTCTTTATAATGAAGGTCCATCGCCTTGTAATGTTTGTGCACTGCTGCAGTGAAAGGTTCTTATTTGTTATGGGAGTTTATAAAAGCTACAGCAGCATAAATGTAAAAGGCCTTGGACGTTATTAAAATACTTTCTATCCCACAAATCTTGCCCCTCCCAGATCATCATGGCAATAAAACGACTGTGGTCTATATCATAGTCATCATTAGCTTTGTGGTTTGCAGCTGACTTTGTGAATCGACCCAATGAATGAAATAGTAATGTTCTCTCAGCCTGCCTGGTTGAAGCAAAAGCCACTTGCTCCTCAGAGTAGTAACTTCCTGGTGGCCTCCACAGTCCTCTCCAGGCAGAACGCAGTACCTTATCTGCAGCGATAAAGATGTGTGGGCTGCGGGTCAGAGTTGAATTTTATCACAGCAATTTCTTCTCAACCATCCTCCCTGGCTGTGTTTAAGGGACGTTTGGATGCGGTACTGAGGGGTATGGTGTAGGGGAGGACTTTGTAGAGTAGGGTAGATGGTTGAACTCGATGATCCCAGGGGTCTCTTCCAACCTAGATGATTCTGTTCTATGATTCTATGAAAAGCCTGTTGCTTTTACATTGTTTAGATATGTTTGTGTGTATACACATGCTTTATATTTTTGTATTTGTTTGTATAGTTACTATATTTACTTAGAGTTCTTGTATTTCTATACTCAGTGGCACTCAAATTTAAAAAACAAACAAAAAACTTTCTGACCTTTTTTTCCCCAAAATAAGAGTATAAGGGAGGACCACATGTGTGTTACCAGCAGTCTTCCTCTGCTCACTTTAGAGAATGTTTGAGTTTAGTGAACTTGCATGCTGCCCACCATGCTTACACGTGTCAGGTCTTTTAAGTCAAATTGCTGTTACTGGTCCATTTTAAATTCCCTGCGTTGAGGGGCATTTCAACACCCTTTCAACCGATTTTGTGAAACCCTTAATTTGTCCCTCTGTGTTAATATATAATTAATGTATTTTAATACAAACCTGGATGCTTCTGATGTTACTTTTCTCTTTGTAAGAGGCTCCGTGTGGTATACAGCAAATATCTTGTGAGGTTACTTTTAGTTCAGCCGCATATTCTGTGTGTCTTGTTCTAGCTATTTTCATATATAAAATGTTTATTTTAGTGTCAATGACTGGTTTACAAGAGAGGATTGTCAAGATTAACATAGAAATACAAATGTCAATTTCCACAGTCCTGTTAAAGTATTGATCGTATATGAAAAGTACCTTATTTACTAAACTAATCCAAACCACTATTTGCTTTTTTTCATTTTCAAGACAGTCATTTATGGCTGCTTTTTTCTTGAACTCATGTAAATTAAAAAAGTAACACTAGTACGAGCAAAAAGCTCCTTAAAATGCTTGCGTGACTAGCATAGTTTGACTGTCTTGTTTATTAATGGAATAAAGAACTCTATATTATACCTGAAAATATAACAAAGATGTGAGGTGACTGACAGAAGAAGAACAAATCCAAAAATTGAGGATTTGTCAAAAAATGTCATGGTATTGGTTTGGAAAAGCAAGAGCAGGACCCCTGCTGATCTTGTGTCTGACACTATTTCAGGAAGGGATTGTTCTCTGTAGTAACTGACATCAAATTTGATCTACTGACCTGTAGGTTTTCAAATCCTTTAATTTGTGTCTTACCTGTTCACACTTAGTATTTTTAACTGGATATTTTCATTGGCTTTATTCAAAGCATTTGAAAGCAGTGTGAATTTGATGGCAATCCCTTTGCTTCATGTTTTGTATCACAATAGACCTTGACTTTGTATCATCCTTTTACTCAAATAGTCTGTGTGGATCTTCTAGTGATGTACCTGATTAAGCCCAGGTGAGGAGGAGTTGCACGTACATCTTTCTCCCTGTATTTAAAAAAAAAAAGAAATACTTGAAGTATTTGAAGTGTTTTAACATAACACTATTCTGTGTGATTTATGGTGTCTTCTCTCAGTAATGACTCCGAAGCTGTGTGTAGGTGGAGACTTGAGCATGAATAGCAAGAATATTATGGGTGCGTCTGGAATGGGTGAGAGAAGCAGAGAGTGTTGGAAATTAGGACACAGTCTGAAACTGGGAGGAAGAGCTGTGACTACAAGGACTCTGAGTGGCTATCAAAGGCTGTGAGCAAGAAGTGCTTTAGGAGCATTGGGGCGTAACGAGGTCCCTTCCAACCCAAACTGTTCTATGAAATATTGATTAAGCCCGAAATGACATTAGAATCCTTCCAAACAGTGGTGGGTTTGGTTTTTGAACACATCTTTTGCATTTTATCACACGGAGGAAGTGTGCACTTCTTTATAGCCTTTAGTGTTTTTCATGGTTAAAGTACGCGCTCAGTCAATACTCTACAAAGAATTCCCTTGCCCTACCAAAAAACCCTCAGACATTCTTTAAAATACAAAGAATCCAAAATATAATATTCCTTTATTGACTTCAGTGCCTGTGCCATAAACAAGTTGTTGCAGGTTGTTCTCCTAAGGAGAGGGATTTTATGGTAACTAGATATTCCTTTGATGTAGTCCTATTTCTTTCTGAAGTATTACTTCCCTGACAGCAACGTACATCAAAGAGTACATTGTTTCCTTTTTTACTATTACATTCCTTGTCCAAGTGTTACTTTACTCAAAAGCTTGTGTTTACGGGTGGATTTATGTTGGTTTATGATGTCTTTTCTGCTTTCACTGTGTTACATGATTATTTTTTTGCCCACTTCATGTACTGCTACACCGATCTGTGTCTCAGCCCGGACATTGTAAGTCAAGTTCTACAGAGAATAACTTTGGTTATATCATAAGCACGTATAAAGCCTCAAGTAGAAGCTAGGTATTTTCTTGCACTTTTATTATTTCACCTGCTTGGTTAGAGACAGTATTTTGTTCTGTAATGGAATTCTGAGGGGCTGTTGTATCCATTGGCCACTGATGGAAAGTTAAAACCACTAATAATTTGTTTTGCTTCCCAATGGCTGAGCATTTTGGGTGCTGCTACATCAAGCTGTTTTGGGGAGGCGGGGGAGGAAATTTCTCCCAAACCTGTGAGGCTAGGGGAAGAAGTTTTTTGAAAAAAATACCTCTTGGGCACAGAGGAACTTGATTCCTTACGCGGCAGGAGAGCTGGTTGAAGTTTATGAAAATCAGAGCTATTATTATCTTGGATGCACCTGTTTTACTGGTAAGCAGAGCCATCCAAAAAAGTCAGTTTAGGGTGCTTCTGCATATAATTGTATGTTTCTAAGGGTTGAATCAGAATAGATTTTTTTAGGCCTCAAAGTAAATTTCATGCATTAATAAAAAGTAAGTTTAGTTATTTAAATGTAAGTCAGGCATTTGAAATGTCCAGCGGCGGACTATCAGTGTTTCTTAAGCTCAGCTGTGTGTGTCTGAAGGCTGCGGTAGTGTGAGGTTGTCTACTTGGGGAAGGGAATGGGCATGTAGAGGTGTGTCACACCCTGCTGGGTGATGAGAAACAGTTGGCCATATGCTGTAGCTTTCAGATATGTTGCTGTGAATTAAGCCGAGATAAAGCCACTTTTCAGCAGGTGGCTTAAAGTAGCTGCCCTTGAAGGGCTGCACTGGAACTGCTGTTGCAAACTTGCTACCTGGCAAGAATAAATTCACCCCCAGGCTCAAAACCTATTGACAGAACATGGGAATTTTGCCATAAGTGATTTGGATCAGCATCTTTCTTATAAAATTGAGTGAATTTTAAGTCCTTTTTGTCTTTAAGTCCTGTGCAAAACCAGAAGATCTTTTTGCATTGACACTGTCATATTTACGCACTAGTACTGCATTATGACAGCAAGTAGAAACAAACCTTTAAATTTAGAAAATATTTCAGCTACTGATCTTTTTCATTGTACCGTTTATTAAAACAGCACTAGATTTTTTTATGCTCTGATTTATTAGATATCATATATACTCTTATATTTTATATGTAATAAATATAATCTCTAAATACTTTTATATAGTTGTTATATATATAATACTTCAGCAAACAAATAGCAAAATACTTGTTGATTTACCATTGTAAAAGGATAAAATTAACTTCTTAATGCCTTCCATTGCTTTTATTCTAGGGCCTGAAGCGCCTGATAAAAGCACACTGATATTTGAATTTTTAATTTAAAAAGTTATTTTAAGGGACACATCTGCCCTACTGAGCTATTAAGACAATAGATTTTTATTTTTTCTTGAAGGTTGACTGCTGCTCCTTCCATTTTTTTGGTGCAATTCATGTCCAATGTCACGGAATCCTTCCAGTGATTTTGAAAAATACCAGTTTTTGAATTATTCACAATAAAATTTGTGTATTAGAATTTTTTCTCTACTTACAAAGAAGAAATGAGTGCCATAAGAGCTCAGCTGTTCACTGTTTGCTCTACTATGATGGCATGGGGGTATTTTTAAAAGCAGACTCTACCCATCTATTAAGACAAAATCTGTTACAAGATATGTAGTATAACAAGGGTAACAAGATTTCAGATCAGCTGATGCACTCATCCACGAAGGAGACACATCATGTAAGAAATTCACTTGGCTTTCTGTGCTGAAATGTGTCTGTTGACTGTAGCTTTATCTCTGAAGCTCTTAGATAGTCATTAAAATGATTAGTCTTGATCCATTTAGGGTACTGAATCCCATAAATTCTTTATAATGAAGGTCCATCGCCTTGTAATGTTTGTGCACTGCTGCAGTGAAAGGTTCTTATTTGTTATGGGAGTTTATAAAAGCTACAGCAGCATAAATGTAAAAGGCCTTGGACGTTATTAAAATACTTTCTATCCCACAAATCTTGCCCCTCCCAGATCATCATGGCAATAAAACGACTGTGGTCTATATCATAGTCATCATTAGCTTTGTGGTTTGCAGCTGACTTTGTGAATCGACCCAATGAATGAAATAGTAATGTTCTCTCAGCCTGCCTGGTTGAAGCAAAAGCCACTTGCTCCTCAGAGTAGTAACTTCCTGGTGGCCTCCACAGTCCTCTCCAGGCAGAACGCAGTACCTTATCTGCAGCGATAAAGATGTGTGGGCTGCGGGTCAGAGTTGAATTTTATCACAGCAATTTCTTCTCAACCATCCTCCCTGGCTGTGTTTAAGGGACGTTTGGATGCGGTACTGAGGGGTATGGTGTAGGGGAGGACTTTGTAGAGTAGGGTAGATGGTTGAACTCGATGATCCCAGGGGTCTCTTCCAACCTAGATGATTCTGTTCTATGATTCTATGAAAAGCCTGTTGCTTTTACATTGTTTAGATATGTTTGTGTGTATACACATGCTTTATATTTTTGTATTTGTTTGTATAGTTACTATATTTACTTAGAGTTCTTGTATTTCTATACTCAGTGGCACTCAAATTTAAAAAACAAACAAAAAACTTTCTGACCTTTTTTTCCCCAAAATAAGAGTATAAGGGAGGACCACATGTGTGTTACCAGCAGTCTTCCTCTGCTCACTTTAGAGAATGTTTGAGTTTAGTGAACTTGCATGCTGCCCACCATGCTTACACGTGTCAGGTCTTTTAAGTCAAATTGCTGTTACTGGTCCATTTTAAATTCCCTGCGTTGAGGGGCATTTCAACACCCTTTCAACCGATTTTGTGAAACCCTTAATTTGTCCCTCTGTGTTAATATATAATTAATGTATTTTAATACAAACCTGGATGCTTCTGATGTTACTTTTCTCTTTGTAAGAGGCTCCGTGTGGTATACAGCAAATATCTTGTGAGGTTACTTTTAGTTCAGCCGCATATTCTGTGTGTCTTGTTCTAGCTATTTTCATATATAAAATGTTTATTTTAGTGTCAATGACTGGTTTACAAGAGAGGATTGTCAAGATTAACATAGAAATACAAATGTCAATTTCCACAGTCCTGTTAAAGTATTGATCGTATATGAAAAGTACCTTATTTACTAAACTAATCCAAACCACTATTTGCTTTTTTTCATTTTCAAGACAGTCATTTATGGCTGCTTTTTTCTTGAACTCATGTAAATTAAAAAAGTAACACTAGTACGAGCAAAAAGCTCCTTAAAATGCTTGCGTGACTAGCATAGTTTGACTGTCTTGTTTATTAATGGAATAAAGAACTCTATATTATACCTGAAAATATAACAAAGATGTGAGGTGACTGACAGAAGAAGAACAAATCCAAAAATTGAGGATTTGTCAAAAAATGTCATGGTATTGGTTTGGAAAAGCAAGAGCAGGACCCCTGCTGATCTTGTGTCTGACACTATTTCAGGAAGGGATTGTTCTCTGTAGTAACTGACATCAAATTTGATCTACTGACCTGTAGGTTTTCAAATCCTTTAATTTGTGTCTTACCTGTTCACACTTAGTATTTTTAACTGGATATTTTCATTGGCTTTATTCAAAGCATTTGAAAGCAGTGTGAATTTGATGGCAATCCCTTTGCTTCATGTTTTGTATCACAATAGACCTTGACTTTGTATCATCCTTTTACTCAAATAGTCTGTGTGGATCTTCTAGTGATGTACCTGATTAAGCCCAGGTGAGGAGGAGTTGCACGTACATCTTTCTCCCTGTATTTAAAAAAAAAAAGAAATACTTGAAGTATTTGAAGTGTTTTAACATAACACTATTCTGTGTGATTTATGGTGTCTTCTCTCAGTAATGACTCCGAAGCTGTGTGTAGGTGGAGACTTGAGCATGAATAGCAAGAATATTATGGGTGCGTCTGGAATGGGTGAGAGAAGCAGAGAGTGTTGGAAATTAGGACACAGTCTGAAACTGGGAGGAAGAGCTGTGACTACAAGGACTCTGAGTGGCTATCAAAGGCTGTGAGCAAGAAGTGCTTTAGGAGCATTGGGGCGTAACGTAATAAATGTAAGTGGACTTGTGGGATGGTAATGGAAAGTATTAGGACATAAGGATTCAGAGGGCTCTTAATTTTGATCATCTAGTGTTGGTCTATAGAGCTGTTGCAGCCATTTCTAAGGCGGAGAATGGGACTGGATGGTGTGCTTTCTAGGAGCATCAGTTTTCTTACCATGCTACACTGGGACAGGGTAATTCAGCCGTTGCTGTTGCCCACATTCACCAAATGGGCTTTTTGTGGTATAAAATCTGAGGTGCCGGAAAATGTTTCTTCAATGATAAAGACCAGTGGACTTTTTGTTTAATGTGTTGGTTTTATTTTGTGTAACTGAGATCTGATCTGGAAAACATTTTCTGTATACTGCTATAATGGAGTTATTGGAGTGAAAAATTACTTTCAGATCTCTAGCCTAAGATGACTACTTGAAAGCATTTTCAAAACACTGGTACTTATGTACCCAAATGACTCCTGCTGTGGGCAGATTGGATTATACTAAGCCAAAATTTTACCTTATTGTTCTGATTATATTTTACAGGATCTGGGAAGGAACGTAGCTGTCAGCATCCCCTCCTTTATGTATGAGGGCTTTCCTCATAGAAATGCATGAACCCCTTGTAGACCCTGAGATCAGGAGAGCTGCAGCACAGTGCCAGTGGGGTAACTGAAGAAAATGCAGTGCCTGATAATCATCTTTATTGAACATAATAATGGAGAGTGCTGTAGCCTTTGCAGCATGTCTCCCTAAATCTCCTTTTAGTGTTTCTGAACAAAACAATGGAATAAGCTATACATATAGTACTGTCAAATACAGGAGAGAAACTAAAGGAATAAATTATCTCAAAGAGCAGTAAATATTTGTACTGCTTATTTTATTAGAAAGCAGGTAGTTTTTTAAAAAAAATTATTTCAAAATAATAGCAGCACCTGAAATAGCTAGAATTTGTATCTTCAGTCCTTCAGTGCTTTGTAATCCTTAGTGACCATATCCTTTCCCTTGTGAGCCTGGGAAATGCTGTCATCCCAGACAGAAACAATGAAACCTACTTAGAGCTGAGACACAAACTCAGTGTGTTGCCTGGGATCACCCAGAATATCTGTGCAGAGCAGGGAATTGAGCTAAGGATCCTCTGGGTCTACGCTTGAGTTGTAATGATTAAATAATCCTTTGGGCTCCAGTTCTAGCGCTGCTGGCATCCTCTGTATGATTCTGCCCCTTTTTGGGGCTGGAGGGGGGAGTTACTTGAGGTGGTAACTCTCAAACTGACAGGCTTATAATGCTTGTAAAGCTCTCAATATTTTCTACCTGAGAATCTCACAAAAATGAAATTAGATGGTAGCATTTTGTGGGCAAGCCAATATCTTAATACCCTAATTGGATTTGTGGAAATGTATTTCAGGTCTCCTATGTGATTAGAGATGAAGTGGAGAAGTATAACCGAAATGGGGTAAATGCACTTCAGCTGGATCCAGCGTTAAACAGACTCTTCACAGCGGGCCGAGACTCTATTATAAGGATATGGAGTGTCAATCAGCACAAGGTAAGTCGAGAGAGGATCCCTGTGTTTGGTTTATGATGTCTTTTCTGCTTTCACTGTGTTACATGATTATTTTTTTGCCCACTTCATGTACTGCTACACCGATCTGTGTCTCAGCCCGGACATTGTAAGTCAAGTTCTACAGAGAATAACTTTGGTTATATCATAAGCACGTATAAAGCCTCAAGTAGAAGCTAGGTATTTTCTTGCACTTTTATTATTTCACCTGCTTGGTTAGAGACAGTATTTTGTTCTGTAATGGAATTTTGAGGGGCTGTTGTATCCATTGGCCACTGATGGAAAGTTAAAACCACCAATAATTTGTTTTGCTTCCCAATGGCTGAGCATTTTGGGTGCTGCTACATCAAGCTGTTTTGGGGAGGCGGGGGAGGAAATTTCTCCCAAACCTGTGAGGCTAGGGGAAGAAGTTTTTTGAAAAAAATACCTCTTGGGCACAGAGGAACTTGATTCCTTACGCGGCAGGAGAGCTGGTTGAAGTTTATGAAAATCAGAGCTATTATTATCTTGGATGCACCTGTTTTACTGGTAAGCAGAGCCATCCAAAAAAGTCAGTTTAGGGTGCTTCTGCATATAATTGTATGTTTCTAAGGGTTGAATCAGAATAGATTTTTTTAGGCCTCAAAGTAAATTTCATGCATTAATAAAAAGTAAGTTTAGTTATTTAAATGTAAGTCAGGCATTTGAAATGTCCAGCGGCGGACTATCAGTGTTTCTTAAGCTCAGCTGTGTGTGTCTGAAGGCTGCGGTAGTGTGAGGTTGTCTACTTGGGGAAGGGAATGGGCATGTAGAGGTGTGTCACACCCTGCTGGGTGATGAGAAACAGTTGGCCATATGCTGTAGCTTTCAGATATGTTGCTGTGAATTAAGCCGAGATAAAGCCACTTTTCAGCAGGTGGCTTAAAGTAGCTGCCCTTGAAGGGCTGCACTGGAACTGCTGTTGCAAACTTGCTACCTGGCAAGAATAAATTCACCCCCAGGCTCAAAACCTATTGACAGAACATGGGAATTTTGCCATAAGTGATTTGGATCAGCATCTTTCTTATAAAATTGAGTGAATTTTAAGTCCTTTTTGTCTTTAAGTCCTGTGCAAAACCAGAAGATCTTTTTGCATTGACACTGTCATATTTACGCACTAGTACTGCATTATGACAGCAAGTAGAAACAAACCTTTAAATTTAGAAAATATTTCAGCTACTGATCTTTTTCATTGTACCGTTTATTAAAACAGCACTAGATTTTTTTATGCTCTGATTTATTAGATATCATATATACTCTTATATTTTATATGTAATAAATATAATCTCTAAATACTTTTATATAGTTGTTATATATATAATACTTCAGCAAACAAATAGCAAAATACTTGTTGATTTACCATTGTAAAAGGATAAAATTAACTTCTTAATGCCTTCCATTGCTTTTATTCTAGGGCCTGAAGCGCCTGATAAAAGCACACTGATATTTGAATTTTTAATTTAAAAAGTTATTTTAAGGGACACATCTGCCCTACTGAGCTATTAAGACAATAGATTTTTATTTTTTCTTGAAGGTTGACTGCTGCTCCTTCCATTTTTTTGGTGCAATTCATGTCCAATGTCACGGAATCCTTCCAGTGATTTTGAAAAATACCAGTTTTTGAATTATTCACAATAAAATTTGTGTATTAGAATTTTTTCTCTACTTACAAAGAAGAAATGAGTGCCATAAGAGCTCAGCTGTTCACTGTTTGCTCTACTATGATGGCATGGGGGTATTTTTAAAAGCAGACTCTACCCATCTATTAAGACAAAATCTGTTACAAGATATGTAGTATAACAAGGGTAACAAGATTTCAGATCAGCTGATGCACTCATCCACGAAGGAGACACATCATGTAAGAAATTCACTTGGCTTTCTGTGCTGAAATGTGTCTGTTGACTGTAGCTTTATCTCTGAAGCTCTTAGATAGTCATTAAAATGATTAGTCTTGATCCATTTAGGGTACTGAATCCCATAAATTCTTTATAATGAAGGTCCATCGCCTTGTAATGTTTGTGCACTGCTGCAGTGAAAGGTTCTTATTTGTTATGGGAGTTTATAAAAGCTACAGCAGCATAAATGTAAAAGGCCTTGGACGTTATTAAAATACTTTCTATCCCACAAATCTTGCCCCTCCCAGATCATCATGGCAATAAAACGACTGTGGTCTATATCATAGTCATCATTAGCTTTGTGGTTTGCAGCTGACTTTGTGAATCGACCCAATGAATGAAATAGTAATGTTCTCTCAGCCTGCCTGGTTGAAGCAAAAGCCACTTGCTCCTCAGAGTAGTAACTTCCTGGTGGCCTCCACAGTCCTCTCCAGGCAGAACGCAGTACCTTATCTGCAGCGATAAAGATGTGTAGGCTGCGGGTCAGAGTTGAATTTTATCACAGCAATTTCTTCTCAGCCATCCTCCCTGGATGTGTTTAAGGGACGTTTAGATGCGGTACTGAGGGGTATGGTGTAGGGGAGGACTTTGTAGAGTAGGGTAGATGGTTGGACTTGATGATCCCAAGGGTCTCTTCCAACCTAGATGATTCTGTTCTATGATTCTATGAAAAGCCTGTTGCTTTTACATTGTTTAGATATGTTTGTGTGTATACACATGCTTTATATTTTTGTATTTGTTTGTATAGTTACTATATTTACTTAGAGTTCTTGTATTTCTATACTCAGTGGCACTCAAATTTAAAAAACAAACAAAAAACTTTCTGACCTTTTTTTCCCCAAAATAAGAGTATAAGGGAGGACCACATGTGTGTTACCAGCAGTCTTCCTCTGCTCACTTTAGAGAATGTTTGAGTTTAGTGAACTTGCATGCTGCCCACCATGCTTACACGTGTCAGGTCTTTTAAGTCAAATTGCTGTTACTGGTCCATTTTAAATTCCCTGCGTTGAGGGGCATTTCAACACCCTTTCAACCGATTTTGTGAAACCCTTAATTTGTCCCTCTGTGTTAATATATAATTAATGTATTTTAATACAAACCTGGATGCTTCTGATGTTACTTTTCTCTTTGTAAGAGGCTCCGTGTGGTATACAGCAAATATCTTGTGAGGTTACTTTTAGTTCAGCCGCATATTCTGTGTGTCTTGTTCTAGCTATTTTCATATATAAAATGTTTATTTTAGTGTCAATGACTGGTTTACAAGAGAGGATTGTCAAGATTAACATAGAAATACAAATGTCAATTTCCACAGTCCTGTTAAAGTATTGATCGTATATGAAAAGTACCTTATTTACTAAACTAATCCAAACCACTATTTGCTTTTTTTCATTTTCAAGACAGTCATTTATGGCTGCTTTTTTCTTGAACTCATGTAAATTAAAAAAGTAACACTAGTACGAGCAAAAAGCTCCTTAAAATGCTTGCGTGACTAGCATAGTTTGACTGTCTTGTTTATTAATGGAATAAAGAACTCTATATTATACCTGAAAATATAACAAAGATGTGAGGTGACTGACAGAAGAAGAACAAATCCAAAAATTGAGGATTTGTCAAAAAATGTCATGGTATTGGTTTGGAAAAGCAAGAGCAGGACCCCTGCTGATCTTGTGTCTGACACTATTTCAGGAAGGGATTGTTCTCTGTAGTAACTGACATCAAATTTGATCTACTGACCTGTAGGTTTTCAAATCCTTTAATTTGTGTCTTACCTGTTCACACTTAGTATTTTTAACTGGATATTTTCATTGGCTTTATTCAAAGCATTTGAAAGCAGTGTGAATTTGATGGCAATCCCTTTGCTTCATGTTTTGTATCACAATAGACCTTGACTTTGTATCATCCTTTTACTCAAATAGTCTGTGTGGATCTTCTAGTGATGTACCTGATTAAGCCCAGGTGAGGAGGAGTTGCACGTACATCTTTCTCCCTGTATTTAAAAAAAAAAAGAAATACTTGAAGTATTTGAAGTGTTTTAACATAACACTATTCTGTGTGATTTATGGTGTCTTCTCTCAGTAATGACTCCGAAGCTGTGTGTAGGTGGAGACTTGAGCATGAATAGCAAGAATATTATGGGTGCGTCTGGAATGGGTGAGAGAAGCAGAGAGTGTTGGAAATTAGGACACAGTCTGAAACTGGGAGGAAGAGCTGTGACTACAAGGACTCTGAGTGGCTATCAAAGGCTGTGAGCAAGAAGTGCTTTAGGAGCATTGGGGCGTAACGTAATAAATGTAAGTGGACTTGTGGGATGGTAATGGAAAGTATTAGGACATAAGGATTCAGAGGGCTCTTAATTTTGATCATCTAGTGTTGGTCTATAGAGCTGTTGCAGCCATTTCTAAGGCGGAGAATGGGACTGGATGGTGTGCTTTCTAGGAGCATCAGTTTTCTTACCATGCTACACTGGGACAGGGTAATTCAGCCGTTGCTGTTGCCCACATTCACCAAATGGGCTTTTTGTGGTATAAAATCTGAGGTGCCGGAAAATGTTTCTTCAATGATAAAGACCAGTGGACTTTTTGTTTAATGTGTTGGTTTTATTTTGTGTAACTGAGATCTGATCTGGAAAACATTTTCTGTATACTGCTATAATGGAGTTATTGGAGTGAAAAATTACTTTCAGATCTCTAGCCTAAGATGACTACTTGAAAGCATTTTCAAAACACTGGTACTTATGTACCCAAATGACTCCTGCTGTGGGCAGATTGGATTATACCAAGCCAAAATTTTACCTTATTGTTCTGATTATATTTTACAGGATCTGGGAAGGAACGTAGCTGTCAGCATCAACTCCTTTATGTATGAGGGCTTTCCTCATAGAAATGCATGAACCCCTTGTAGACCCTGAGATCAGGAGAGCTGCAGCACAGTGCCAGTGGGGTAACTGAAGAAAATGCAGTGCCTGATAATCATCTTTATTGAACATAATAATGGAGAGTGCTGTAGCCTTTGCAGCATGTCTCCCTAAATCTCCTTTTAGTGTTTCTGAACAAAACAATGGAATAAGCTATACATATAGTACTGTCAAATACAGGAGAGAAACTAAAGGAATAAATTATCTCAAAGAGCAGTAAATATTTGTACTGCTTATTTTATTAGAAAGCAGGTAGTTTTTTAAAAAAAATTATTTCAAAATAATAGCAGCACCTGAAATAGCTAGAATTTGTATCTTCAGTCCTTCAGTGCTTTGTAATCCTTAGTGACCATATCCTTTCCCTTGTGAGCCTGGGAAATGCTGTCATCCCAGACAGAAACAATGAAACCTACTTAGAGCTGAGACACAAACTCAGTGTGTTGCCTGGGATCACCCAGAATATCTGTGCAGAGCAGGGAATTGAGCTAAGGATCCTCTGGGTCTACGCTTGAGTTGTAATGATTAAATAATCCTTTGGGCTCCAGTTCTAGCGCTGCTGGCATCCTCTGTATGATTCTGCCCCTTTTTGGGGCTGGAGGGGGGAGTTACTTGAGGTGGTAACTCTCAAACTGACAGGCTTATAATGCTTGTAAAGCTCTCAATATTTTCTACCTGAGAATCTCACAAAAATGAAATTAGATGGTAGCATTTTGTGGGCAAGCCAATATCTTAATACCCTAATTGGATTTGTGGAAATGTATTTCAGGTCTCCTATGTGATTAGAGATGAAGTGGAGAAGTATAACCGAAATGGGGTAAATGCACTTCAGCTGGATCCAGCGTTAAACAGACTCTTCACAGCGGGCCGAGACTCTATTATAAGGATATGGAGTGTCAATCAGCACAAGGTAAGTCGAGAGAGGATTCCTGTGTCTAAACCTTCATTTTTCCAAGTTATTGTGCTAGTAAGATGCCTACATGTATACATCTGATGCTCTTTTATTTGTCTAAACCTTCATTTTTCCAAGTTATTGTATTAGTAAGATGCCTACAAGTATACATCTGATGCTCTTTTTTTTAACAGCTTAACAGCTGCCAATTATTATGATAGGAAAACTATTTTGATATTGCTTGTATTGTAACAAAATATGTGGATAACAGCTGCCAATTATTATGATAGGAAAACCATTTTGTATTGTAACAAACTATGTGGGATTTTACAAACCTATGTTTGGGCTTATTCTCCAAAGAACTAGTCACAACTGAGAGATGTTTGGGCTTATTCTCCAAAGAACTAGTCGCAGCTGAGAGGAAAAAAAAAAGTTAAATATAGAATTATGCCTTTTCCAGTGATAAAGGAGATATAAATACAGTCACTAGAATCATGTATCTTCTGTTAGTTATGAATGTACCTTATGATGGATTGTTTACTTTGGTCAGTGAGCATTTTGTATAGTATGAGATTTTGGGAGAATCTTAAGTCATCTCCCCTTTGTTATCTTTGAAGGAAAAAAGCAAGCATTAATCAGACTCTTGCTCTGCTTACTTTCACCATTGTGAAAAAAAAGGCCAGTGTTAATAACAGAAGCAGATTACTGGAAACTAGAGCTTCCATGTGAAAGGTTCAGAGCATAAAACTTCATGATGTTCATGACTTGGAGAGATCATGAGTGACTCTTGTGTTGTGCTTTGATTGTTCTGTTCCTCTTCACAGCAGAACAAGTCCAATGCCATCTATGCAGAAATAACATTAGCTTGGCAGTCCCTCTTGGTTTGGTTATAAGTTTTTCTGTGGTACAAAACCAAACACTTTATGGTGAAGTTACATACAAAATGAGACTGTGAGTTTAAAATGTACAGGGATTCCACTGAAAACTGATCTGTGGTACCTTACCTAACTGTATAGTTCTTTCACAAAAAAGTTCTGGAGTAGTGACTTCAAGTAACTCTACCTTAGGCAACTTTTGGTCCATTTGAAGGTTGAAGAAAATATTACAACAGCATCCGATAGTCACAATCTTTTCCATTTGTGAAGAGATCTTATAAACTTTTTTCTTAATTTGCAGCAAGACCCTTATATAGCATCTATGGAACACCACACAGACTGGGTAAATGATATTGTGCTCTGCTGCAATGGTAAAACATGTAAGTACTGAAATATTTGGAAACTATAGTGTTCAGAAATTGTATATAAAAATTACATTATCCACCTCTTTAATTATTTTCTATCTTCTCTTAGCAAGTAAAATGAATTTCTGTGCTGTGTATTGTAAATTTGGTAAATAATGTAAGCAGGTGTTTTACGGAAAAATTTAAATGTGTAATATAAGTAATAAGTAATATATAAGCCATTAAATTTTACTCTTTATTCTTTCTACTTTAGTGATATCTGCTTCTTCAGATACTACTGTTAAAGTGTGGAATGCACATAAGGGATTTTGCATGTCAACACTAAGGACACATAAGGTGAAAAACGTTATCTGTAAATACAGTATGTTATCACTGACAAATGTTTAAATATTAACATGTAGGCTTCAAATGGATAATGTTGCTGAGTCATGTTTTTATATTTACTTTATTGTAGGATTATGTGAAAGCCTTAGCATATGCAAAAGATAAAGAACTGGTAGCATCTGCCGGGCTGGACAGACAGATATTCCTCTGGGATGTAAATACTCTAACAGCACTGACTGCCTCAAATAACACCGTAACAAGTAGGTACCCAGGGAGGGGAGGCAAATACAATGAATTTTATTGAATAGCATAATCTGAGATCCATTGAAGATTATAGGTACTGGTTTCTGTGTAAATAAAAAATGTGCAAAAAATTTTAAAGTGGTTTTAGTCTGTACTTGGTCCATTTGTTGCATTATGTAATAGCTGAAAATCTAGAGCAGCCAACAGTCACGGCATTTAGAATAGAGGACAGGTCTCTTTGAAGGTTTTCTCCTGAAATGTAACGTGCTGGTATTCTCTGAAGCTTGATAGAGCTTTAGTTTCAGAAGCTTTCTGCTCCTCAGCTAACCTGTTATAGAAATTTTCCCTTAGGTTATTTGTTAGTGCATTTTCTGTGTGTTATAATTTGGTTGTTTTTTGAGGGTTGTGTTGTTTATGTAGATGCTGCAAAAAGTGTGCTCCTAAAGCAGAACTCGGTACATTTATCAAATCTGTCAGAATGATAAAGTTACTAGATAAATTTAGGTTTAAAAAATGTGAAGTAATATTAAGCACTAATTACATGTAAAGGTAGTATGTTGGTGAGATCTGCCTCACTAGTTAGATACTAGAAAACAAGGGGAAAATGCCTGTAGATTCTACTCATCAGAGTTAATCCTTAATGTCATCATCCTGTGTGTCACAGTTCTCTATCCCAATGAAGACATTATATTAAACGATGAGATCTTTCCCCACAGAGCAATTCCAACACAGCTTTCTCAGAACAGTCAGGAGAGAACTAGTTAAGTTTCTCTTCTGGGAAGCATGACACCAGCCTTCAAGTTCAGTTAGATTTAATTACTTGAGTGAATAATGTAAATCTGGATCATCAGCATCCTGGTTTGTATTGGCTATTTTACATTACATTTTTTTCAGAAAGAGGTTTAGTTTGACCACGGGGTGTTTTGCTGCTTGGACAGTATTTTTCCAGCTCTCCTACAAAGTGACTGATCTCTTTCATTTTATCCTTAGTGTTTGATACATGTTTAAACAGTAGCAGAGTCTCAGATGCATGGGGAAAGAACATACCCTCTTGTTCCATGGCCACACTTGAATTTTCTAAATAAGACTACTTGCTTTCTCATTCCTAGGTTGGGAATGACTGAGGAAAAATCTGCAAAACTAAGATTTGAATTGGCACAACAGACTTGTAAGAAGTTTCAGGAATACCTGATTCTATAAATAAAAGGCAGGCATTACAGTTGTTTTGGTGTGGTTTTTTTTGACTTAGTGTATTGGCTAATTCTGAAAGGTTTGTTAATTTTGTGGGTTTAGGATCTTCTCAAATGAAAGGTGCATCTGGTGGGCAGAGCTGTCAGTTTTGTATTTGTTCTGTCTGCAGGACCTTTTCATTCACATGTAGCCTTATGCTGACAGGTCTGTGTAGCCTTTGGAAGAGGGATGGCCTCTAGTGAGCTGTGTTGGACTGCAGATGGCAATGACTGCACATAATGAAATAGGTTTATCTTATATTTCTCAGAAGTTTTCTTTCACTGAAAGTAGTATTATTTTATCACTGAGCTTGGCTGATAACTGTAAGTTATGCTATCTTCTTGTTGAATGGGGATTTTTTTTGAAGAAAGAATTTATTCACTGGCTCACAGGAAAACTGCTGGGAGGCAGGGGAAGGATTTCTTGAACGCCATGACAGTGGTACAGAGCCTAAATGATTTGAGTGAGTCATTACTGGGAGACGGGGTGTACTGAGGAGTTGATACTTGTTTTAAGCCCAAGATCAAAGGGAAGCGAAGGCATTACCTCTTATGACAGAAATAAATTTGCATTTCTAGAGTTAGAGCAGTAATGCTTCATAAGGGGGAGGAAGGAGAGGCAGGGGATTTGTTTTTCTTTCTATTGCTCCCACCTAACTGTTTCTGTTGGAAGAAACAGTAATGCTTCATAAGGGGGAGGAAGGAGAAGCAGAGGATTTGTTTTTCTTTCTAGTGCTCCCACCTAACAGTGTTTCTGTTGGAAGAACCACAGTGTATGTCCTTAAAGAAGCTGATTTTCCTCAGTCTTTTCAAACAGTATTGGGTTTTTTTCAGAGTGCAAATGAAGATTGTTATTGTACATTAATTTCCTATCTGATTACAGGGAAACAATGTGCACAAGCCAACATTAAAAGGGAGCCTCTTTTTAAAATGTCTCTCAGTCAGCATAGCCATAATTTAAATTAAGTGGAGAGATTTTGCTTTTGAGAGGTAGTCCTTTCCAGGAGAGAATGGAATCGAGCTTTGCTTTTGTTCTGGCATAAATTTTGCTTCTGTACACTTAAGATTCTCTCTTCCATTCCTGATGTCCAGCTTGTGGTAACTCTGTACATTAACCTTTCATAAATGATGATGACTGCTGAGCAGTGTGCTAACCTTCAAGAGCTTTCGATTCTCCTTTTTGCTTTCAGCTATTCTCTGGGGACAGTGGAAAACTGTCACTTTATTACAACTGCTGAGCAGTGTGCTAACCTTCAAGAGCTTTCGATTCTCCTTTTTGCCTTCAGCTGTTCTCTGGGGACAGTGGAAAACTGGTTACAAATAATAGATTTTGTTTGAAACTTCACATTTGGATAGCTATAGGTAGTGGTTAAGATGATCCTGAGGTAAAGCTGTGTAATTGTTCCACTGTGACAAAATGTATGATATTGGGTCACAAATAGTGTGTTCAAATCTTATTTCCATAATATACATAAATCAGTATATAAAGTTTCACATTTTTGCTGGCAATGTGGTGTGTTGCTGTTCTCAGCCTTTTTGCCTTACTGATTGTATGGTTTTAGGGCTTGATGAAGTGCCTAATGGTGCTCTCTGAATAGATGATTTTCATTTGCTGTGTCTGTGCTTTTCCCAGTTGAGCGCTTGGTACTTTAATTTGTCCAAAAGTAGATTAGGCTGGATGGTACAGAATTCCTCAACTCTTGATGGTAGGTGTGATGCTGGGGAGTTGCCATATGGTTTTCCCAAACATGGAGATAGCATCCGTGCTCAAGTAACACATTTCAACCCTGCAGTGTAACTTCAGCAGTGCATCTCTGCTGAGCTACGAGAAGAGCTTTTAATATATAATGTAGAATTTTGCTGCTACTTGGCTTGGAATAAAATCCCTGTGCTTAAATCCAAATGCTACGTATTATCAGATCAAACAGAAATATTATTCTCTAATAAAGCAGTTGAGAAGAGCTGGAGTACCTTGATGGTCCTGGTACTGAACTGCGGTGCCCAAAGGGCACCAGGATTGTAATGACCATAAGGCTGAGGGATACTTTGTTTTTATGCAGCAATAGATTAAGAATTGGAATGGAGTTTTCCTAGCACTATGCTATCTATAGTGTTTCTATTTTTTTAAAAGTCATTCTATATTCGGGGTAGAGTGGCACTATTTTCATGCACCAAAGGTATTAAACTACCCTTAAAATACCGTTTTTGAGTGAATATGTTTTTCAAGTGACAGCATTAAAATGAAAATGTAAATTTTATTTTGAAATAGCTTCTTCCCTGAGTGGGAACAAAGACTCCATCTACAGCCTTGCAATGAATCAGATGGGAACAGTTATTGTATCAGGGTCCACTGAAAAGGTAAGCGAAAATCTGGTAAGGCTCATTCCACTTCAGTTTAGAGTTTAGTATAAAGAGACAATTTTATTTATTTTCAATATCATTTCTGTAGCAGCTTTTGTTTTTAATAGTGAGAGTAGACACTTGTTTTTTTGAAGCAGGGGGTTTAAGTGTAGGATACAAATAACTGCCCCCATCTGAAGATGTGTATATATCCGTATAGCTTTAATACACAAAAGAGACAATCAGATCATCTTGTGTAGCCCTCTCTCTGTCAGAGATCGTTACATTTCACCACAAGAGCTCTGATTTTGGGGGCACGTTACTCAGATTATTATAAAAAATATGAAGTAATAGCCACAGGTAAGAAAGAAGTGGTGGCAGCAATTTGTAAGACCCCTGCAGGAGCTGGGAAAGGAGGAGAGCTAATGAAGTTCAAGTCTTCCCAAGACATAGCCCATGCTCTTTCTTGTGAAGGAAGGTGAAACGCCCTAAAGTCTGCTGTGAGTTGTTGGGTTGTTGGGTTTTTTTTTTTGCCTAATCTAATCTTGAGAGAATTTTATTTCCTAGTCAATATAAAGATGAAAATAGGATACACCAATGAAGCATCTGAGAAGATTCACAGAATCTTCTTTTTTTTTTTTTACCCACATCACACTGTCCTGTTTCCAGTTACTTCCATTCTTTACTTTCTTAAGAAAACAGAAAAGGCCAGAACAAATAAAATTAAAATTAAATTAAGAAAATCACATCTGATTATTTGAGGTGCATAAGATCTAGTTAAGTCTATCTTGTTCTAATGAATGCTTTTGGTGTTGGATATCTGTGTGTTTGAAATAAGGGTCAGATTTTTTGGAAAGACTTTAATCTTCCATAAAGAAAATGCATTGGTGGGAAGAATGATGTTAATGCCAGTTATCTGATGTCTGTTTTTGTAGGTTCTGAGGGTGTGGGATCCGAGAACTTGTGCAAAACTAATGAAACTCAAAGGGCACACAGACAATGTAAAAGCTTTGTTGTTGAACAGAGATGGCACCCAGGTACGTGCTTTAATGTGAGACAAAGGCGTTTTACAGAAAGCAGAAGTGCCATTAGTCTTTTTAAATATAATATTTTATATTATAGATTACAGAAGGTAGCTTAACAAATATTTCATAGATACTTAGTGATTAAGGGAGGGGGGCTGATGGGTGAAAGCTCTGTTTTATTATAGGTCCATCTAGGTATGGAGGGGGGTGGTTTACATGAAAGGTCTGGAAATTATGAGTAGAGTTGTTAACTGCCAGTCTTTGTTCAGCACTGTCTTAATGGAAAAATATAACCATAAGAATTATGAAAGCTCTTTATGGAAAAAATTATTTTGAGAGACTTAACTACCTGCTTGATTTAAGTATGATGGTTGTTGCTCAGTGTCTTTCAGGTAGCTCTGATGGGACTATCCGCCTGTGGTCCCTTGGGCAGCAGAGATGTATAGCCACATATCGAGTCCACGATGAAGGTGTTTGGGCTCTGCAGGTCAATGAAGCCTTCACTCATGTTTATTCAGGAGGAAGAGACAGGAAGATTTATTGTACAGATTTACGAAATCCTGATATCCGTGTGCTTATCTGTGAAGAAAAGGCACCCGTTCTTAAGGTAATTGAGTTGAATCATAGAATAGTTGAGGTTGGAAATGATCTCTGGAGGTCATCTGGTCCAACTGCCCTGCTCAAGCAGGACCACCTAGAGCTGGTTGCTCAGGACCAGCTTTTGAATATCTCCAGGGATGGAGACTTGGAGGCCTCTCTGGTCAACCTGTACTGGTGCTTTGTCACCCTCACAGTATAGAAGTGTAATTGTATTGCATGTTGTCTACTGAAATAGTGGTTTGAGGTATAAGTTGATAGAAGAACGTGTATTGAGTAACAAGTATTTACTACACCACATCTTCAGTATATTGGGTTTGTCTCCTAAATAAACTCAATTGTCTGAGGAAGATAAATGCCTGGCAGCTTCTTAAAATGTGCAAATTTGAATATAACTGAAATTAAAAATGCTTCAGACGTTAAAATTTTTTACCAGACTCTAGTACCGTTTTAAGAAATTAAGCCAGCATTGCCAAGGCTTTAGACAAAATTGGATGTTTCATAGCAGCAATATTTATGACCTTGGGAATACATAGGTGTATAAGGAGTGTGCAAATGAAACAGATACCAGTATAAAAGCAATCTGGCTTTCATTGTGAGTGAACTCTGTTGGCTTAGTATGTTCAGATAAATCCATGGATATATTAATGTAGTTTTGAAAAAGTTCAGAATCTGAGAAATTTCAGCTCAAACTGGAAAATGAAAGCCATGGTCAGCTGCACAAAGATCAGAAGGAGTCTCTAGTATCTTTGCTACCGTGATTTGTTATTGTCCAAGGAATGTACCAACAGAGCAAAACATATAACTTTCTGCTTTTTCATTAGTACAGAACTTCTTGTATTCTCATTTTAGCTATGTGAAGTATTTGAGTGCAAAGTAATTCAGAAAAATATCAAACTGTCCATTAGACAAGATTGCATCGTGCTAGAAGCAACTTTAAATACTGGCTCTTCAGACACATTGCAGCTACTATTGTCCACGTCCAGAATTTATTTGTTAGATATTTGAAACAAATTCTCTGGAGTTTCAAAAATCGTAGTTTAGTTATCTTTTATTTAACTTCATATTTCTTTGGTAAACTGAAAGTAGTGCTGTTTCTGACATATATCCAAGTAAGGGAGCAGGTCTATACAGGAAAAAAAAAAAATTAAATAAAGGAAAATTAAGTTAAGTGTGCCTGAAAATATCTGTGGTTTCATTATTTAGATGGAACTTGATAGATCGGCTGATCCTCCTCCAGCACTTTGGGTTGCAACAACTAAATCCTCTGTGAATAAGTGGGTAAGTGATATATTTTACACTCTCTGAATGCAATTAAGTAGCCGTGGGATCTGCAGTCTTGATGTGGGAACTGTTGGGCTGTTGCTTGCAATTTGACTGTGACTTGCTACAATCTGTCAACTTTCTTTCAAAAAAATATTATAAAATACTAATACAGAAATTGATCAAATTACATTAAGTTTTGAATTACTTTACTATCTATATATGCTGCTTTTAGATATAAATTCTCTTACTCAGAACTGGATGGTTAACATCAAAATATCAGCATGAACTGGCAGCTGCTGCTCACAGATAAAAAGCAAAGTTTATAGATTGTTGCGAATGTGTCATTATTTTGTTTCTTTCTTTAGACTTTGAAGGGAATTCATAATTTTAGAGCATCTGGAGATTATGATAATGATTGTACCAATCCTATACCACCCCTGTGTACACAGCCTGACCAAGTTATAAAAGGTAAACAGCTGTTTTCCAGAGTACCTTATAAAATGTTACCTGTTATCATTAGCAGAAATGGTACATCTTTAAGACTGGCTCAAGTTTTTAGGTACTTGATTTCGACCAAAACAAAGACAATGTGGTTATCATCTCTCTAGTGTTAGTGATATCTGAGTCTTACATCAAATAGTGAAACCAAAGAACAATCACACGCGTGCTATACAGTTTTAATTTAATGTAATATTAGAAAAATCACTGTAGTGACTTTAATTCTTGTTTATTTGCTAGGGGGTGCTAGTATTATTCAGTGCCACATTCTTAACGACAAGAGGCACATATTAACCAAAGACACAAATAATAATGTGGCATACTGGGATGTCTTGAAGGTAAGTATATAATTTTGGATTAAACATTTTACTATTGGATGATTATTTATTTCGTACCTTTTTTTTACATGTAATTTTGGATTAAACATTTTACTATTGGATAATTATTTATTTTGTACCTTTTTTTACATTTATTTTTTAGTCCTATGGTAGAAAGTAAGCCATCTTTCTGTCCCAAAACATAATGCAAAGATTGGTTTTGAAAGGGCAGGGGGATTTCTGAGCTTTTCTGCGCCTTTGCTTGACATGAGGCTGGGTAGTGACATTTTTCACTCATCTGAAATTCAGACCCTTGAATTCTCTCCTTGAAAACCGTAATGTTGGTTTGGACTGGGTCTTTTTTTTTTTTTTTTTTAAAGAGGGCTTCTGAAAGCCCCTGGGGTATGGAATAGCATAAGAAAGGGAAGCCTGCACTTCATGTCCTGCTGGGATCCCAGGGATCCCACACGCATGTGCTGACTGGGAGTCTGTGAGCAGCCTGGGAGTGAGAACTCATCGCTGGTGAAAAAAGCAAAGGGAGGCAGGACTGGAAGGAAAGTTAGCAGGAGACATGGATCCCACCTCGTGTTGCTTGCTCCTGTGAGAGGAGAAAGGCTTGGCTTGGTATTTCTTTTATCTTGCTTTACCCAATGGTTGGTCAGAGGAGAGGGAGAAGAGTGCAGAGACAAACGACTAGAATCCCAGATCAGTGAGATGGTCAGCAATTTCTTCTCTTGCAAAATCCATTTTGAAATTCAAAAGCTTTTCTTCATCTTGAACGATGCAGTGCTCCAGCCAAGATTCAGTAATGAAGTAAAGCACGTCCAGCTGACTTACTGAGTTGCTGACTGAACTAAGAAAGAAGGGAGTTAAGTTAGAGAATGTAAATTTGGACTAAAAATTATCTTCTGTGAAAAAGTGAATAGCTTTTCTTTCTTTTGTTTACAGTCGGTGTATATTTAAGTACAGTATTAGATCTCAGGACCAAAACCAAATGTTAATGTTAGTTTCTACCTTCATTCAATTCCTTTTCTCTTTTGTTGGTAGGGGTTTCGGAAGCATCTCTTAGATATGTTTAAATACGTATTCACTGTAGAGTTGGGGTTACTTGCCAGGTCAAAGAGTCATCTTATGTGTAGGATCACTGCAGTCTAAATCTGAGATGCTTTATGGAGACTGCTGGAAGAAGGGAGAATAGGGTTTTTTACCTGTAGCTGCACCCTTCAGACTTTGCTTCCTGTAACTTTTCCTGGGTTTTGAGGAAATAAGTCTTGCAAGGTTATAATCCTTAGTTTGCTCAAAGCATGTGTTTCAGGTTTCAAGATGACTCTGCAAATGGATTACAAGAATTGGGATGTTAACAGAATTACTTGAGGAACTTTAAAAATAAAAGCATACAATAAAACAGATAGATAAACTTTAACAGGAAAAAAGAATCCGCACACAAATTCACTCTCTGCTGTTCCCTTTGCAGTAGCTGAGGTGCTAAACTTGCAGTAAATATTAGTGTTGGAGAATTGTACTGAAGTATTGCTATTGATGGGGAGAATTGTGGCAGAGGGCACTAGAAGACAACTGTCTGTTCAGTGATAGGGAAAATGTTTTTTATTAATGTGAAGTAATACTTCCATACCTCTGCATAGGCTTGATGCCACTACCTCAGAAATAAACAATAAATAAAATTACTTACCACCTAAACTATTGTTCAGTTTCTTGAGAAAAATTTGAACCTTTAAGTTGTTTGTTTCTGGTCAACAGTACTCATGGAGAAATAGTAAGTTTTAATTATTCCGAGTGTATATGAAAGTCAAGTAAAAGATTTGAGGTGTTAATATGACTCAGTACTCGGAATTTAAAGACTTATGTCTTTCTTTTGGCATACAGGCATGTAAAGTTGAAGATCTTGGGAAAGTAGACTTTGAAGAAGAAATTAAGAAGAGATTTAAAATGGTGTATGTGCCAAACTGGTTCTCAGTAGACTTGAAAACTGGGGTGAGATACAACTTCTAAATCTGTTTTTCTAATGTCATACTTCATGTATTTTCATGTACTGTTTGTTCAGGAAGGTTTTATTGGGTTATAAGTTTTGAAGGATGATCATCATCTATCGGATAGGTTAGATTTATTTTGAAGCAAATCAGCAAATTTTACCTCAGTTCTCAATAATCTGAAAAACAGATTATTTTTTTTTTTTTTTTTTTCTCATGGTATGGTCAGTTTAAACCCACCAATACTAAATATGAATGAATACAATTTGGCAAACAAAGTGTCCTATCATGCATTTAGAAATTCTTTGGTTTATATTCCCAGTTAAGTATGAACAAAATAAATTTATAGACTTGTTAAATACAAAACAACTATTGCATTCCTCTTCTTGGTGGTCTTTTTCCAACAGATGTTGACAATTACTTTGGATGAAAGTGACTGCTTTGCAGCCTGGGTTTCAGCAAAGGATGCTGGATTTAGCAGTCCAGATGGTTCTGATCCAAAATGTAAGTTTTAACTAATATTAGTGTTTTAGTGGAACAAAAGAGCAGAATAAATTCCAGTATTTATGATTTAAAGTATTCTTGTGCCACATACAGCAGTAGCTGGTTGGATTTTAGGGCTTATTTTCTTGAAACTAAATTCTGCAGGGAATTCTCCAAGAAGAATGTTTGCTTTTTTCTGAAACATTTCAGTCATGTTCAGGTTCTCTATTTAACTTGGTTTAAAACCTTCAAGAAGCAAAAGGAAAAAAAGTAATATTCTTAAACTTAGAATTATTACCTAATCTAGAGAATGTTACAGTATGTGAGTGATCCAACAGTGCTGATTTTAAGATCAGCTTTTTCTGAAAGATTGTAACTTATAGCTCTGTGATGATCAGATTTCTGTGCCCTTTAATAGTTTAGTCTGGGAACAGAACTACTTATACTTTTGGGAAAGTTTTCAGCTGTGGATCAAATGTAGAATATTATGATGCCAGTGGTTTTTATGTAGCTGAACTTCTACCTCGTTATGTCTTGACAGTAAACCTTGGAGGGCTTCTGCTACAGGCACTTTTGGAGTATTGGCCTAGAACACATATCAATCCAATGGATGAAGAAGAAAACGAAATAAACCATGGTTAGTATTTTAATATTTTCCTTTTTTTAGGGTTTTTTCATAGATTCAGTTTGTTTATATTTCTGTTTCTTTAACAGATATAACGTGACTTGCTGTCTTAAACTTGCCTCTATGCATTATAGACTAATGTTTTTAATGCTTTTAAATTTGCTTTACACCAACATTTGCTGAGTAGCTTTCTTCCTCTGAAAGTCACCAAAAATCTGAATAATTCTGTGATAGTCTGTAAAAAAAGTGGGTGAATAGATGATTCCGAAGTTACAGAAACATGATGCCTTGATGGAAAAACAATTACTGGCAAAACTAAGGCTTGACTTGGAAAAGAAACAGCCTAGATAATGGGAGCAAAGAGCAATAGTTCAGTTATTCAACATTAGCCGGTATTCTGGTGACGTAATTCCAGTTTGTTTCTAAATATTATGAACAATATAAAATAAAAGAAAGATTTATTGGAAAACAATTCTAGTCTGTAAAAAAAGTGGGTGAATAGATGATTCCGAAGTTACAGAAACATGATGCCTTGATGGAAAAACAATTACTGGCAAAACTAAGGCTTGACTTGGAAAAGAAACAGCCTAGATAATGGGAGCAAAGAGCAATAGTTCAGTTATTCAACATTAGCCGGTATTCTGGTGACGTAATTCCAGTTTGTTTCTAAATATTATGAACAATATAAAATAAAAGAAAGATTTATTGGAAAAAAAAAAATTCAATGGCTGTTAGAATAACACATGGGGTAAGTCTATACAGAACCATCTTAGAGTAGTTTTTTTTAAGGTAATAATTCTAAGTCTAATTGGGCATGACATAAACAACACAGCTATGTAAAATGTAAGAGAGTGGCTGAATTCGGCAGAATAGAGGAGTCTGTGTAAATCCTGAACTTATGAATTATGTTGAAATGAATTCAACCCAGATCAGAGTTCACTGAATAGTCTTGTCTTTGGTGATTAAGAAATTACTTCCTACAGATAATGCAATTAAGAAAACTGTAAGTTCAGCAATATCTTGCCGTTTTGTGACAAAGATTGTACCAAGAGTTAGCTACTTTCTTTCTTCAAAAATGACCTCCAGGGAGGGTTACAGCACTTGGCAGGCGGCTCTGGATAAAGTGCTGATTCTCATACTTTTGTGTATTGTCAGTCCACAGCTTGAGAGCCAGACAATGTGTGAGAAGCATAACTGAGGCTTTTGTCTCGTTGGAACAATGATGCTGCAGTACTTATTTCTGTGAATAGTTGTGGATTAGTGGAATGTTTAGAATACTCACTATAGAATCAGTCTTTGTTTTCCCTTTCAAAAGTAACAGTTAAGAAATTGACACTGAAGGGTCATTTAAGAAGATAAAGTATACCTGTTGGACACTGAAATTTGTGTAAAGAAAGAACTAAAGTATACACATATATGTATATGTGCAGTATTGTTCCTTTCAGTTGTTAACAGATCTCTAATGAAGAAATCTTTCAAACTATAGGATTTTTCACTTGCTCTAACTTCAGTATCACATTCACCCCTTCTAACAAAGAATGAGTTTTCTGTTTTGTTTTCTTTGCTTCATACGACTTTTACCTTTCATTCACTAGATGTGTTACTGGTCAGAAAGCTAAGGAATTATTACTCTCGGGAGGTGATGCCTTTTTAATTTTTTTATGTTGCTTGAATTCAATGTCATTTTCAAATACAGTAATTAGATGACACAATGTCGAGATGATCTTTCTCAAGTGAAAGGAAGGCTTTCAAATACAGTAATTAGATGACACAATGTGATCGAGATGATCTTTCTCAAGTGGATACTAATCTAAATACTAAATACTTTTATATTGTATCTAAATACTAAATCTAAATACTTCTATATTGTATTTCAAGATACCTGTGACTAGAAGCTGCACTGTTCAAGAGGTGCATAAATATGCGAAATTTTCTTTGATCTTATCCTATCAATCTGATGTGGAGTCAGGTTCTTCAGTGTTTGAAGACCACACTGCTATAACTAGCTAAAAATAAATTGAATTTAGTATGCAGTAACTTCAAGGAAATGTGGGTCTGAGCTTTACTAGTCTACTAATGTGACTTCTGGCAAGTCCAGGTAGAACAGCAAATCTAACATCCTTTGGAATTCTGTACTGTCCGTGCCGGGGAGGTGGGAACAGTCTTGTCTCAGCAAAGTCTCCTTAGTTGGTTTCTAATATTAATATTGTTCAATTTCACAAATCCCCAGAGTTCTGTTATGGAACTGGAGAAAAGTAGTTAGCATGTTTTGGCTCGTGAGCTTTATTTCCCTTTTCTGAAAGGCTTTTGGGATAGGCCTTGCAGAATCACAGAATCACATGGGGTTGGAAGGGACCTCTGGAGATCATCTCCTCCAACCCCCCTGCCAAAGCAGGTCCACCCAGAGCAGGTTGCACAGGAACGTGTCCAGGTGGGGTTTGGAATGTCTCCAGAGAAGGAGACTCCACCACCTCCCTAGGCAGCCTGTTCCAGGCCTCTGCCACCCTCAATGTGAAGAAGTTCCTCCTCATGTTTAGGTGGAACTTCTTATGTTCAAGTTTGTGCCCGTTTCCTCTTGTCCTGTCAAACCCCTGTTCAACTAGTTAATCTATAGTAGGTTTTTTTTATATACTTGCTATGTGTTGGAAATGGGGATTTTCTTGGGTTTTATGAAGCTTATGATTTTGTTAATTTCTGAAATAAATTGGCTGCAGGTGGAAAAATACACTTGTTGGTCTGTGTATACTCGATTTTAAGGCCTAGTGAAGTCTCACTGTTGTGTATGTTGTTTTCCAACAGTGAATGGTGAGCAGGAGAACAGAGTCCAGAAAGGAAATGGGTATTTTCAAGTGCCACCACATACACCAGTTATTTTTGGTGAGGCTGGAGGACGCACTTTGTTCAGGTATAAAAATTCAAGAGTGTACATTCAGTGGCTTAAACAATCATTTCCTTTGTGCAAGCAGAAATGTTATCAAAATGTAACACTTGCATCCATTCTGTGCTGTATGTAAAATTATGTTGCTTTGTTTCAATATTTATGTGCACATTTCTTAAAATTGGTTTGATTCTTTCCATTTGGTGAGAGCTTAGCAGATGCTTTATGTCCCAAGCAGAAGATACCTGCTTTCTGCCAGACACCTTTCCCCTTCTCTTGACAGTTTTGTACCTCAACACACAAACATACACAATCCAAGAGCTAAGTAGTTTTTAAAATTTCTTTGTGCCATAGCCTGTGGTCTCCTGAGATATTTCTCCCTGTTTCTGCCCTAGAAATCTGTCCTCTTCCTGCAGCTACTTTTTCTGGTCTTTATGGAAAACGTGTGATCACTTCCCCAATAAGTTTGATGATGTGAAGGGCCAGCTAACCAAGTTCAAGCTCCCGGCCCATTAATAGGGCAGGTCCTCTCCTGAGAGCTTTTTAATGTGCATTACAATAATTGTTTTCATTCACAAAGGTTATTTCTCCCTGTCTTAGGTTATTATGTCGGGATTCGGGTGGTGAAACTGAATCTATGCTTCTTAATGAAACTGTGCCACAATGGGTAATTGACATCACTGTGGATGTAAGTATCACATGGATAGATTTTGCTGTTTTGTTGGATTTATTTTTTTTTTTTTTAAGGTGAATTACAGGCTTTTTTAACTATACAGGAGCTGAAAAGGCAAATTAAATTTTTGCTCTGTTTGTATTTAAAATAAGTGTTCTCAAGGTCTATATTCAAGACCCCTTGAGATACCTTAACTGGACACATTAAAAAATGAATTTCTGTTCACTTTCTTTTGACTGAAAGTCTTAGAAAAAGAATTCAAAGCACTGGGCATAATTAGTATCCTTTTCAAGTGTGGAGCTCAGGAGCAGAGAATACTCTTCATATCGCTGCAGTCTTTTGATACTATCTAATTTCCTTTGAAATGAGTGATCATTTATATTCAAAAGCTAGACTTAATATGTGCATCATCTAAATTGAAGCATCTCAGGAGTATGAGTAATTTGGAAGCTGGCTGCGGTGCTTATGTTGATTAAGAATCTCTCTTGGTTTTTGATAATTAGGAGCTGAATACACTTCACATACCAGCTGGTGGAAATAGGAGCTGATAACCGTTCATCCTAAATTAACACTTTTGAAATTTGTTTCGTTCTAGAAAAATATGCCCAAATTCAATAAGATTCCCTTCTACCTCCAACCGCATTCATCATCAGGGGCAAAAACTCTAAAGAAGTAAGTAATGCATATTGTCATTTTTATTACTAATTATTTTTAATTATTATTATTTAAATATATGAAAGATAATGATTTATTTTGAAATTATCATTTAATAATAATTATTATTATTTTAAAATATACTAATGATACATATTTACATTATGTTTCCTATTTCTAACTGTGATGAATAACAGCTTTTTAAAAGGAAAAGGTACAAAACCTGACAGCAGGGGATACAATATAGTCTGCCCATCACATTAGCTGTAACTGGGAGCTCTGTAGGTTAGAAATCAATGCAGGTCCTCAGATATGAGGTCAGTGTCACAATGTGCTTACTGTTTATATACAACAGTTTGGGGTATTTTCCACTAATGCCCAGTTCCTCTTTAAGTCTTGTTGAGTTCTTTACGTGAGAGACAATTTGTGAAAGAGGAGCTTCATAGACTTTTGTGGTTTTCCCACAAAATACACTGCTGCTTATTACTTTAGAATGTCTCTCTGTTAATGTAGTAGTGTGAAAAGCATATTCTGGCTTACCTTTTTTCTTATTCCATATCCTCTGTCCTTTTCTTACTAATCCCTTTCTATGGAAAGAATGAGGGTTGTGTACAATGTTCTTCATCTAAGGTTTGATTTTTAATTCAGTCTTTTGAATATCTTACCACTTATTCTGAGTCCCTTTTGCTGGGTAAATCTTCGGATAAATAGCTGTTATGGTCATGGTGTTCTGGATGATCATGATAATTTATTGTTAAACTTATTATAATGTCAAGAGCTTATTTGTGTGCTTGCATAGTTTGCAATAGATAGGGTATTGTGAAGATAAGAAACAGAGTTTCTCAAGTTTTTTCCTCCCAAACTTTGCTTACCTTATATAGAGACCGACTGTCAGCAAGTGATATGCTTCAGGTGAGAAAAGTGATGGAACACGTGTATGAGAAAATCATCAACTTGGATAATGAGTCTCAGACAACCAGCTCTTCCAATAATGAAAAGGCAGGAGAACAAGAGAAAGAGGAGGACATCGCTGTGCTGGCAGAGGAGAAGATTGAGCTTCTGTGCCAGGACCAGGTAAGTTACTTGGGTGTCTCAGCCTGTGGACAAAACCCATGTCTAGCACTGAATCACTTGTGAATTTCTGAATGCTGAGCTTGAAATATGCTGTAGATTATTTGTTACCTTTAAAACTAAGTAAATGTTTTGATGTCTGGCTGGCACCAGTTTGGGCAGTTGCAGGCAGCTGGATCAAAGAATTTATATAGTATCCCTGGTTAATTTGGTTCTGACCAGTAGCCTCTGTGGAATTACTTACTCACACCCCACAAATGGACTTAATACAATTCCATAGAGTTCCATTTCTAACATTTTTGAATGGTTTTAATTCCACATTTCTAGCAGAAAATGCCCCAAATTTTCCCAAATTTGTCCAAAATCATGAACTCACTAATAAGTGTAATAAGTGCATGAAGATTAAATACTGAGGAGATGATTGTAACATGAAGCTATATGCTACCTTGATAAAACCTTTCAGCAATGCAACAGTTGTACTTGCTGGTTGAAAAACACGAGCCTTGGCGTGGTTCCTTTTTGAAGCCAGCTCTCCCATGGGATTGATTAACCCAACCAGAGCCGTTTTAGCTTTGAATTTCCAGCAAATTTGTGGATTAAGAGATTATTTTTTACTACTTTAGGTTTTGGATCCGAATATGGACCTTCGAACTGTAAAGCACTTCATTTGGAAGAGCGGTGGTGATCTGACGCTTCATTATCGCCAGAAGTCAACGTGAAGGGCTTGGTGGACCCAAATGGTTCCTTATTTACTTGACCATACTGTACTGGTTCCAAGAGTAGTACTATAGAAGCCCACTGAACCCCTAAGGTAGATGAGACTTCTAATGACTCAGTATGGACGGAAAGTATACATTTAATTGAAGTGACTAATAGATCTGTAATATAGAGGAAAAAAAAAAAATATCTATATGACTTAAACTAAAGTCTGTCCTCATCTCAGCCAATGAGATGGGAAGTCCCTGAGTGGTTCGTGTTGTGTGAGGTGTACAGAGAATGGATGATCATCCAGTGCAGACTTTTGCTTCCTCCTTTTTGCTTTCATTTTTTTTTTCCAGACCATAATATCCTCATCTGCTCATGCTTGATATGAAATCTTTTTGGCCATAGTAGTCACTGTGTTCACAATAGAATTCAGAATTGCACACAAGGTGTTTTTTTTTTTTTTTTTAGTACATTCCATTCATAAAATTCCTACAACGATTTCTCACGGGTTACTCAAACGCTTCTACCACTTAAAGAAATTTGGAAAAGAAAACCAACAGCAAATAGGTATTGTATACTTGAAAGAATTGGCCCATTTAATTGCAAATGAAGGGTTAATATTAGAATTGTTTTAATATTGCAACACAATTGTTGCTTTACAGAGCTGTTGACACACAGAATGAGAACACTAGATAAATATTGTAGCAGTCAGTCCAGTGATGCTGTGCATCATCATAGAGTGAACATGCTTTGCAGCAACTTAAAGTCTTTTCTTTGGGTTTTTTTGTTTTGTTGTTTTTTTTTTTTAAATATCTATAACTATTTCCTGCACTGTGTCCTAGGTGTTCTGAAGACACACGAGTCTAATTTTTGGTAACTGTGCTCCAAATCTATGTGACGTTTTGTTAAAACTTCAGACCATTCTGCAAATAACTTCATATGTTTAATGTTAAACTTTAGAAAACTTCTCAGCAGATTTCATATTCATGATATAAAAATACTTATTCTTCTTTTCCGATGTTTTATATGCAGTTGTTCTTTTGTTATAGATTTATGCGGATCTTCTTTTCACTGTTATTTCTAAAAATCTGTGACTGTCATAGACTCATAGTAGTCTTTTATAGAGTTTAACTTATTGGGGGGAGGGGGTAAAGGCATTTCAGCTTTTCGTGAGAAAATGTGGGGCTGTCCCAGAAAAACCATTTGCAGCCAGAAATTACAAATTACAAATCCTCGTAAAGAAATTGTGTAAAAATGACACTTGTCTGAAGCAGAAGCACAAAGTGCCTTCAAAGGGCAATATATTATTGGAGTTTCTTCAGGAGACAGATGCTCTTGCCCTTCCTGTATCTTGCTGTCAAGATTTAGGTTGAGGCCTAAAGAAAGTCCCAATAAATTCTATTACTGGGATCGTATTGGTCAGAACAAAAAGTAAAATATTTTTCATCGTATTTTATTTGAAAAAATAATCAAATCATTACCTTCTGCACACTCTTAACCGAGCTAAACCAACTCATCACTTAAACAAAAGATATGGTTGAGAACTAAGCCAGCATGTCTTTTTTTTCCCTGTCTTTTGGGAGTCAGTTTCAGTTTCTAATCCCCATTTCTGTGTATGCTCACTTTGACACAATTGTGCTAGAACTGCACATTTTTTTAGTGATATTTGTGAATTTAATAGTTAAACAGAACTGTAACTTTTATTGATAAACTGTCCTGACTTGTATTTATTAATAGCAAGGGTCTATGCTTGTTCCAACAGGCACTGTTTGGGTTTGGGGTTGGTTTTTTTTCTGGTTGTCTTGCTGTCCCATTGTATCCATTGGAATTGCTCCCAGTGATTTTGTTTGGAATCACCCAAGGTGGTAATTTTTTTTTTATTATTTTTTTTTTTTCCTTTCTAACCATCCCAAAACACAGTTTCGAGAAAGATTGACAGAAGAGTCTGCAATGCCAGAAGGGTTAATGATGTTTCACAGTTGTATAGAATAAAAGGCTTTAGTTAAAATATTTTCCAGTTGTTTTGTGTATTGGATCAATTATGCAATTTTAGAGCTGGGACCGTTGCCACTTCATGGTGGTACTAAAAGGGCTTCGGGGTCCTTTGAAGCCTCAAGTCATGGGGTGGCTGAAGAAATGGCAGCGCTTTAATGAAATCCCTTAATGATGATCTTGTAATTTGGCTTGGATTTAAGAATTTAGCAAGTGTGCAAGCCTTCTTGCACAAAATCTGTTCCCAGAGATATCCATCAGAGATCCATCCATCCATCAAGTGACAGGGTTTGGGTTTTTTTGCTACTTACTTCTAATTCTGAAGAAATGGCAGCGCTTTAATGAAATCCTTTAATGATGATCTTGTAATTGGCTTTGGATTGAAGAATTTAGCAAGTGTGCCAGCCTTCAAATGTAAGCCGTGAGGTTCCGGATCCATCAAGTGATAGGGTTTGGGTTTTTTTGCTACTTTCTTTTAATTTCGTCCTTTGAAGCCTCAAGTCATGGGATGGCTGAAGAAATGGCAGCGCTTTAATGAAATCCCTTAATGATGATCTTGTAATTTGGCTTGGATTTAAGAATTTAGCAAGTGTGCAAGCCTTCTTGCACAAAATCTGTTCCCAGAGATATCCATCAGAGATCCATCCATCCATCAAGTGACAGGGTTTGGGTTTTTTTGCTACTTACTTCTAATTTGTCACTTTTTCCTAAAGTTGTGCTGTTTGTAAGAGTCCTGAAGGCAAGAGCAGGAGAGGTGCCTGCAGAGCGTTGAATGGCAGTGAGAGTCACAGCTTGTTGGGGCGTTATGGATGGGGACAGAGCTCCAGTGTGCTGGAACCATAGAGACTTGTAACAAGGGCATGCAGTGATAGGATGAGGGTTAAGGGTTTTAAACTGGGAGAGGAGAGATTTACATTAGATATTAGGAAGAAATTCTTTCCTGTGAGGGTGGTGAGACACTGGAAGAGGTTGCCCAGAGAAGCTGTGGCTGCCCCATCCCTGGAGGGGTTCAAGGCCAGGCTGGATGGGGCTTGGAGCAACCTGGTCTGGTGGGAGGTGTCCCTGCCCAGGGCAGGGGGGTTGGAACTAGATGGTCTTTGAGGTCCCTTCCAAACCATTCCATGATCCTATGAAAGGCTGCTGCTGTGTAGAAGCTTTTTTTTAATTTCCAAGTTGATGAGGGACTTTAAGGTCCCTTCCAACCCAAACCTTTCCCAAACCATATGATCCTATGAAAGGCTGCTGCTGTGTAGAAGCTTTTTTTTAATTTCCAAGTTGATGAGGGAAAGGAGTTGTAAATCTGGTATTCAGTTGTTTAACCCATCTCCTGGAAAAACATTTATCTATGTCAGGCAAGTTATTTTTTCCCCTTCAGGTGAGGCACAGGAGGCTCAGGAGGTGCCAGGATCATTTTAGGAAGAGAACTACTTGAAGGATTTAGCGTTAACTTTTTAGAACCCCCCCAGAAATACTCCAAATAAGCCCTAGGCAGGAGATACTCATGTAGTTCTACCTCGTTGCCAAACAGTGGGGGAAAATAAGGGACTTGGGATTTTTTTAGTGGGGTTGTTCATGTTCAGTGGGAGAGGGGTGACCTGGGGACTGACAGGGTGTTCCTCTGCCAGCCTTGAGCAGAGCAGGGGGGAGAGCTGCTGTCCCAGGGCTGCAGCATGGGCATCTGGTTGATGTGCAGATCTGAGAGACTCAAGGGAGAGGGAGAAGCTGCAGAGGTCAGTTTGCTGAGGGGAGTTGGCGTGGAGCTGCTAGGGAAGGAGAGAGAACGCATAGAGCCACTGTTAAGGGCATGAATCCAGCTCCAGCACTCCAGTTTTTGGCCGGTCCTTTACACCCAGGTACTATTTTTTTTCCTTCACAGAGGTCCCATTTGGTTCAGACTTGATCCTTAGAAATTTCTTGAACTTGTTAATTTAGCATCACTCTTTATGCACATGATCTTACACTTGGAGATGTGCTGATGGCTCCCGAATGGAGCCAGGTGGAACTGCCCCCCTGGATAACAGAGCTGTTTAAAGCACATGCAGGCTTAAATATCAAGAAAGTGATTGAGTAAAAGAAAGTGAGTGAGTAAAATAGTTTCCTGTACTATGTGCTGGGTTTTTTTTTCTGCAAGCAGCTGCACAAACACCCTGCAGAGCAGAGGGACTGATTAGAGGCTGGGTGCCCCGTGCCCATCCCCTCTCTGAGGACCTTGTGCCACTCTTCCAGCCATTTTTCATGGCACTGTGAAGGCTTAATCACTTTCCGTAGCTTAGAAATGTAGCTTAAACCAAACAGTTGCTTTGAAATTGCGTTACAGCAGCACCCGTGCAGATCAGTGTTTGCTTAAGGCAAAAGCCAAGAGGGAGGCTGTGTGGACACACGTGGCAATGCCCAGGAAATAAGAGATTAGTGTCGTCAAAGCTGCTGCAGGGAGGAACTTGTAGCTGTGTTCTCTGAACAGCCAGGGCTGGCGGTGCCTGGTGCTTCCATAACTGCTTGGTGGGGAAAATAATTGCCTGGTTCTGGGGGAAGGTGGAGAAGGGTGAGGGCAAATATTGAATTAAAGGCTTCTCTGTGGGAGGCTGCCTCTGCTGCTTTCCCTTTCTGGGAGATTCACGGTGCAGGAGCGCGGAGCTCCTGCTCCTGGAACAGCTGAAGTCTTCCTCTTCCCCTGTTACTGCTGTGACCCCTTGTGCTCGGTGAGATTCAATCCTGAACCCCCCAGCAGCTGGAAGGGCATTATTTGAGCCCATAAGCAGGAGATGCGTGATCTCGACTCGCTCTTCCAGTCTCTCTTCCTGCAGGATTTCTCAGCTGCACCTATGAGGAATTCAGCCAAGTGTGGCCACAGCCTGGAGTAGGACAGCAGAAGACTCAGTATGTTGTCAAGCCTGCTGTGAAAGTTTGAGAAGGAAAACAAAGTCATCACTGCCTGAATTTGGGCGTTTCAACCGTTCTTGCCAGTAGTTGTTCACCTTGAAGACACTAAATACATTAATTCCGGATCCAGCCCCACTCAGGAGGTTCTACCACTCTTTTTAGGTTTTATTTTCAAACTAGGAAATTCTAATCAGCTTTCTCACCTCTACACCCATGAGTAAAAGAGCACATTCTCTGTGTCAGCAGGAAGGCAGCTTCAGACACCTCAAAAGGCAGTCCCCAAATTGTCAAGAGAAAAGGCATTTGATGAGGAGGTTAAACCCTTCACTTCATTCAGCACTTAAACGATAAAGTTATAGGTTAGGAGAATATAACATAGTGCTGCTAGAGGTTTAACTCTATTTGGTTTTTCTGAAGGGGTATGGTAATTTGGATGTTATGAAAAAAGAATAGTCTTCATAAATTTTAACCAACTCCCCACCACCCCTTCCAAGAGCATAGTTGGTGGAACTTCCAAGTTCCTCCCTAATATAAAGTAGGCTGGACACAGCGTAAACCGTGAACGTTTTGCCATTTATTTATGTGACATTTGAAATTTCGTATTCAGTTTTGACATCTCCTGCCCTTGTATTTCTAAAGGGTGCTTATGATAGAGCATCACTTAAACAAGTGGCTACCAGCTTAGGTGTAAGACTAGGAACAGTCCTAAATAAACAAGAGAAAACAAACAAATCGATCACCTAAACATCATCGGGCTCTGAGACCAAAGAAACTCACCCATAGCTTAAATTACATTTATTTTTAGTGTGTGGCTGGTCACACTTGTATCAGTCAGTTGGGGGAAGAAAAAAGGAAATCAGCAGTATAGGAAAAAAAAATCTGTTGTGCTATTAACAGACAATTTCAAGTCTTAATTCTACTACCTGCATTTTTAAAAGCAAAATATACTTTGACTGTCCTGGTCAGAGCTACTGTATCTTATGCAGAAGCAGGATTTAAGACTAACAACAGAGATGGGGGAAATATAAAAGATTTCATGTAGGGGTGTACTCATCTGCAGCCCTCTCTTGTGCTGCAGCTTCACCTGCTCCCTCTCCCTGAAGCTGGGCTCTGGCAGCCAAATCTGTGTCACCCAGACTCCCTGTCCTCCATCCTTACAAGATTTCAGCCAAGTCACTCATTTCTCTTACTGACCTCCCCAGAAACAGCTCAGGAGACAGGGCAGAGAAAAGGAAATGAGACAATATTGTGCTAAATAAGTATTCTCAAGTATACACACCCCTACCCTTGCACCCCGTTCTCTTAATTGTAAGATTTTACATTTTCAAATTCATTTAAGATTTTCCCCACAGTGACTGTACCAGCTGTAGTGAAGTTATTCCCAGTCAGCAGCTTTAAAATTCCATGATAAATCACTGCCCTGAGGGTGTACAAACACCCACATTTCTTTCATTGTTCACATTTGCTATTACATTCAGAAGCTTTTCATTCCATGATAAATCACTGCCCTGAGGGTGTAAAAACACTCACATTTCTTTCATTGTTCACATTTACTATTACATTCAGAAGCTTTTTGAAGACAAATGCAAACAAAAAAAAAAAAGCACTAACTGTTGCTGCACTAACACCTTCCATCCCCCTGTCTTAGTTACAATGACTTTTATAAAAATAGAATCCTGCACTAACACCTTCCATCCCCCTGTCTTAAACTTACAGTGACTTGTATAAAAATAGAATTGGGTAAACAGAAAAGCACAACTGAAAGAAAAGCTATTTCTCTGTCACTACAGAAACCAGGATGTCTTTAATTCCACTGAAATAATTAATCACACTGATAACACACAGCCCTGACTTAAAATCATCTTTGACTTGGGTTTGTTTCAAATAACCATTTTAATTCCCCCACACACACCTTTTTTTTTTTATAAGTTGTGAGACCACCACCTGATCCTCCAAAAAAGGAAATGAGACAATATTGTGCTAAATAAGTATTCTCAAGTATACACACCCCTACCCTTGCACCCCGTTCTCTTAATTGTAAGATTTTACATTTTCAAATTCATTTAAGATTTTCCCCACAGTGACTGTACCAGCTGTAGTGAAGTTATTCCCAGTCAGCAGCTTTAAAATTCCATGATAAATCACTGCCCTGAGGGTGTAAAAACACTCACATTTCTTTCATTGTTCACATTTACTATTACATTCAGAAGCTTTTTGAAGACAAATGCAAACAAAAAAAAAAAAGCACTAACTGTTGCTGCACTAACACCTTCCATCCCCCTGTCTTAGTTACAATGACTTTTATAAAAATAGAATCGGGTAAACAGAAAAGCACAACTGAAAGAAAAGCTATTTCTCTGTCACTACAGAAACCAGGATGTCTTTAATTCCACTGAAAAGATTAATCACACTGATAACACACAGCCCTGACTTAAAATCATCTTTGACTTGGGTTTGTTTCAAATAACCATTTTAATTCCCCCACACACACCTTTTTTTTTTTTTATAAGTTGTGAGACCACCACATGATCCTCCAAAGTGAATGACAGGACCCACCAACACGTTCTGTCCTGGCTCTATGCTGCAACTTCAAACCATATGGTACTTCCTTCCCTGCAGGAGGAGGGGTGGAGAAGGTACATGAGTAACCGTAACAGTTAAGGGACTCTAAAACAAGAAAAGTAACAGTTTGCAGAGTAGTAAGTAGGAATAAAGATATCTTGGGGTAGGAAATACCTTGAAAGCCACCAAAACCATCCAACTGAGGTGTACCATTAGAAAAGCTTTCCAGCAAGTCAAAAATCAATCACACTGAGAAAATCATCACTAAGTGTCACTGTTCAGGCAGAGCGTCTTCATAAATACATTCAGGAGCATTTCTAGGCAAAGGCAAATTCAGGAAATTAACATTTTTCCCCATGTCCAACTTGTTTCTGCATTAATTTCTCCATTTATTTGGTGATTTTAGACAGCATTCGAAGTTTGAACAGAGATCAATCCGTTAAACAGTGATTGGAAAAGACAATAAGGTATGTATTTCATATGATTTCTTTTATAATATTGTCTACACTAACAAAAATAGCTGTAATTCTTTCAAGATCAGAAAAATATTCCCAGCTGTAGTATTATAGTCTGTAAACAAAAGCAGCAGCATCCATTTCACTCATCATCTTGCCCAGCTTCTTCCTCTTTGTGTTCACGTGCTGCTTCATCACCTGGTGTCACCAGAGCAGCGGTTAACGAGCTCTCAGAACTGTTCAACAGCAGCTTTGGTTCTTGGTTATCGGGATCGGGTCCTAGTGTTGGTTTTGAAACAATTTCATTAGGTAGAGTAAACGAAGGTAAAGATGGAACTGAAGGGGGTAGGTCCTCCAACTGGGGCTGCTTGGCTGCACCTTCAGAACACACGGTGACATTGTCAGGGTCCAAAGCTGTGGCATTTTCTGGGAAATGGAAACAGTTTGTAAAAAAACAAACACTATCAGGCTAACAGGTGATTTCTCTGGTTGCCACACCTCTAGAAAAATCGGCCTGAATGAGATACCTCAAACAGGCCCAGAACCAGATTTACAGCTCTCAAATAACTGTGTAAATGTAGCCCATGTGTCCCCAAATCTAAAAAAAAAAAAATCTGATGGTGCAAGTAGGTTTTTAAGAGACCACAAACCATTTGCTCTGCTGAATTCTTATGCTTAGAGATGTTTTGTGTTACAACTCTTACCCACCCCACCTTTTATAGGGGAAAAGCATCCACAATATGAGGATTTCTCTTTTTTTCTTTTAATAGAAAAGTCACTATTAAGATGACAGCAATTTTGTTTTCACTTTACAACTGTGAATACAAGCTTATGGTACAAAAATTCATTTACACCAGTTTTAGAAATATCTACTTTTAAGGTCAGTTTCATTTGGGTCATCTTAAAGAGATACACATTCTAAAATCTTATAAAACAGCCTAGTAATTTTTGTCTACTTCTGCACCTGACTTCTGCTACTTTTCCCATCTCATTTTAGCCAAACCCCTGTTCCAATTCTTCTTAAAATTGGCTTATGTCCAACAGGCATGATACTTTGAAGCAGGAATGAGTTGGTGCCATTCCAGAAATGAGGTCAGAGGCCTAAAGGAAACCCTGAAGACACTTACCAAAATAAACTGAAGCTTCACTGCTCAACTTCTCAGTGCCAACTAAAGCATCTGCTGCTGGCATGTTGAAGGAGGCAGACGAAGACATGTTGGACATTTTTGTTAAGTCAGTGAGTTCAGGAAATGAAATACCAGACATGTCTAGAAATCCTGAAGGAGAAAGCACATATTACAGTACTGTTTTAGATAGAACACAAAATTCTAGATTCAAAAAGACTTGTTCTATCCAGACTGAAGTCAGTGAAGTCCCCTCCCCACTAAATGCAAATAAATTTAACCTAAAAGTTAGGTGGTATCCGTGGAAAGACTTCAGCAGAACGTTAACCTCAGTCAGGCTCACCGTACCCAATTCTACAGCTCTGAAATCCAGTGAAGTCAAGAACTTCAAGGAAAACAACCACCAGTGTTTATAGTTCTGCATTTAAGTCCCTAAACTTGTTTATGACCACCTTAGAGTCCTCTAAAGAATTGCTGAAAAAGAGCACCTAAGAAAATATACCTGGATCCATAACTCTCTGGAGAGGGGGAGGAGGAGAAAGTGAGCTTTCTGGTGAATAACCACCCATTTCTTGATCTGCGGAATGATCCAAGTTCGTAACTATTTCAGAGTTGTCACTCTGAGAAGCAGGTGCCAATAATGGAGTCTGGAATAAAAGAATAAGAAGAAAAAGCATCTTTTTATATATTGAAAGATTCACTGAAGATGAGCTTCCTATGAAAGCATTCTGCCCCAGTCTCCCAAGTACACCAGTTCAGAGAGAACATACAATGCCCAAACTGAGAGCCAAGCCACCGATTAGGACATGTTCCAGCGTGGCCTTTTAAAGCCAGTATGTTCTTAGAAGAGCAGTCCATATTAATTCTTGCCACTGTATTTTATTTCCTAGTGAGGAGGGTATTCTAATGCGATTCTCTGTAACATGCAAGTCTTCAAAACAGGAAGAAAGTATCTGGCAATAATTGGTATCGGCCAACACTGGTGATTTGCTGTCTGCTCAGTGTCATCAGCTCTCATTTTCCCTCCACCTTACCCCTTTGCATTCAAGCACAATTGTATGCTGTACACAAATACACCACATCATGAACGTTCCAACAAGTAGAAAATTTGGAAACCCCAGAGAATGTGACAGAGATATGAACTGATTCCTCACATACCTCTGTGTAACCATTACTAGGTGGTAGAGGAGCTCCAGCTTCTGGTGAGGGTGAAGGTGGTTTGCTCTCTGGCTTTTTCTTTGATACTAAGGACTGCGTTGGAATTCTGTGCAAGTAGCCATTGTTTTCACTTTACAACTGTGAATACAAGCTTATGGTACAAAAATTCATTTACACCAGTTTTAGAAATATCTACTTTTAAGGTCAGTTTCATTTGGGTCATCTTAAAGAGATACACATTCTAAAATCTTATAAAACAGCCTAGTAATTTTTGTCTACTTCTGCACCTGACTTCTGCTACTTTTCCCATCTCATTTTAGCCAAACCCCTGTTCCAATTCTTCTTAAAATTGGCTTATGTCCAACAGGCATGATACTTTGAAGCAGGAATGAGTTGGTGCCATTCCAGAAATGAGGTCAGAGGCCTAAAGGAAACCCTGAAGACACTTACCAAAATAAACTGAAGCTTCACTGCTCAACTTCTCAGTGCCAACTAAAGCATCTGCTGCTGGCATGTTGAAGGAGGCAGACGAAGACATGTTGGACATTTTTGTTAAGTCAGTGAGTTCAGGAAATGAAATACCAGACATGTCTAGAAATCCTGAAGGAGAAAGCACATATTACAGTACTGTTTTAGATAGAACACAAAATTCTAGATTCAAAAAGACTTGTTCTATCCAGACTGAAGTCAGTGAAGTCCCCTCCCCACTAAATGCAAATAAATTTAACCTAAAAGTTAGGTGGTATCCGTGGAAAGACTTCAGCAGAACGTTAACCTCAGTCAGGCTCACCGTACCCAATTCTACAGCTCTGAAATCCAGTGAAGTCAAGAACTTCAAGGAAAACAACCACCAGTGTTTATAGTTCTGCATTTAAGTCCCTAAACTTGTTTATGACCACCTTAGAGTCCTCTAAAGAATTGCTGAAAAAGAGCACCTAAGAAAATATACCTGGATCCATAACTCTCTGGAGAGGGGGAGGAGGAGAAAGTGAGCTTTCTGGTGAATAACCACCCATTTCTTGATCTGCGGAATGATCCAAGTTCGTAACTATTTCAGAGTTGTCACTCTGAGAAGCAGGTGCCAATAATGGAGTCTGGAATAAAAGAATAAGAAGAAAAAGCATCTTTTTATATATTGAAAGATTCACTGAAGATGAGCTTCCTATGAAAGCATTCTGCCCCAGTCTCCCAAGTACACCAGTTCAGAGAGAACATACAATGCCCAAACTGAGAGCCAAGCCACCGATTAGGACATGTTCCAGCGTGGCCTTTTAAAGCCAGTATGTTCTTAGAAGAGCAGTCCATATTAATTCTTGCCACTGTATTTTATTTCCTAGTGAGGAGGGTATTCTAATGCGATTCTCTGTAACATGCAAGTCTTCAAAACAGGAAGAAAGTATCTGGCAATAATTGGTATCAGCCAACACTGGTGATTTGTTGTCTGCTCAGTGTCATCAGCTCTCATTTTCCCTCCACCTTACTCCTTTGCATTCAAGCACAATTGTATGCTGTACACAAATACATCGCCTCATGAATGTTCCAACAAGTAGAAAATTTGGAAACCCCAGAGAACATGACAGAGATATGAACTGATTCCTCACATACCTCTGTGTAACCATTACTAGGTGGTAGAGGAGCTCCAGCTTCTGGTGAGGGTGAAGGTGGTTTGCTCTCTGGCTTTTTCTTTGATACTAAGGACTGCGTTGGAATTCTGTGCAAGTAGCCATATCCAATACCACATCCTAAACTGTACAAGAAAAGTAAAACAAGACATGAAAAAAATGGTGTTCTTAATAAAACTATTAAGCATTTTAAGTTTTGACTCTTTAAAACAGAGAGAGTCTTTAATTTACAGCAAGAAATACCTACCTGCAGGAATCATTTCACTTACTTATAGTACTCAAGGAGCACTCTGCAACTGACATTCAGCTATGCATAGCCTAGCTTTCAGCTGATTATATTTTTATATCTTTACAAAATATAGTCTGACCCAATTTAGATTTTATTCTTGCTTTAACTGAATTAGTGAAACTGCTACTGGGTAAGTTTTTGCCTTTGGTTTCAGCTCAAACAGGATTAGATCCAGAACACGCCTAGTTCCAAACTATCTTTTAATGGAAAAACAAACAATTTTGTGTAAAGAAACAAGGCTTAACTTGAAAGCAACGAGCTGTAATCAATAATAATACTCTTAATGGGAGCTCATTTACAGTGAGTATATAACCTGTCATCAGCCAGTGGCTGTCCGGAGATCAGTACCTTCCTTCTCCACCCCAAGCTCCATTGGGAGTCACAACTACCTCTCGAATGGAATCTGCTTCAGTGTTATAAACCATCAGCTTCAGCGGCTTCCCCTCGTGGGATTCAATCAGTGAAAAGAAATCCTCTGACTAAGAAAAAGAGAAAGTAGTAGTATCACTCAAATGTGTAAGGGGCTGGCAGCAAGTTAGCACTTTATGCAGTTATTTAATTCAACGCGAGATATTAAAAAACCAAAGATTAAAATTCACTAATGTAGTTTGATCTTTAGGGGCAACTTTCTTTTGTTGACAGATTAAAGAGAGATAATGTTTACCTCAACCATAAAATACCTGTCATAAATATCAACCTCCCCAAATCCCAAAAGACTGTCCCCATACATTTGATGGACACAATTAGATTTATAAAAAAAGCAAACCCTACAACATACACTTGGCAGGCACAAAGACAACCACTACTTGAAGGAACATGCACCCTTACCTCCTGAAGGATCTGATCAGACCCAACGACGTAGTCAGTGTAGGGCTGGAGACCAGCTAGAGCTGCAGGAGATGCAGGTTCAACGTCCTGTGAAGGAACAGCATATGTCACCTGTGCTTCCAGCAGCATAAGCTACTACCAAAAATGAAAACTAACTCCAAAAACAGGAGGAGAGAACATTTTGCTTATAAGACAGAAGTCACACCTAGCTGTGGACTGCTCAAGGACATCTTGTAAAACATGCTGAATAAGGACCAACACACTATCAATTCAAAATGAGATACTCTAAAGACGTTGTTAAGCTGCATTTATTTAATTAAACAACAAGAAACATAAAAAAAAGATCATCTCAGTCTTTCCTAAGCTCTTCTACTCTTTCAGCTCTCCCTCTTAATTTTAAAATAATGTTTTGGTGCTTTTTGCAACATTAATATTACTTGGATGAAGCACAGCCAACACAGAGATACCTATCGAGTCAGAGTCTTTTTTGTTTATGCCATTTTTAATATTACTTGGATGAAGCACAGCCAACAGAGACACCTATCGAGTCAGAGTCTTTTTTTGCTTATGCCACTGATTCTTTAAAATAAGATGAAAAAACCTTCTCCCCATCACACAGTGATTGGGGTTGAGAGGGATGGAGATAATTTTCTTCATAGCAACAGGCAACACTAACAGTCACCCACTACTTGTCCCTATTCAGATAACTCAGACAAACTTTCAAGGCTGGGTTTGCTTCTTCTGTGTGATTTCAGTGTTGTACTTCTGCATACAAGTTACTTCTATACATGACACTTCAAAACAAGCCAATGAAGAATTCTGTCTCACCAAAACATGCCACACGTGTTCATTGGCTCCCTGGAAACTGCAGAACCTCACGCTGGCTCCAAGAAGACCTTGTCCACCCCACATGTTACTGGGGATCACCTCCACCTCTCTTATTTTCATTGTTTTTATATTATACACCTCCAGCTTCACTGCTTTTTCTGCATTTGCCTTCAGCAGATCTTTCAACATATTGTTTTCTTTATTCTGTAAAACACAAGAAGAGATATATGATTAACATTTTTTCTATTTGCACTTGTAACACACCTGTGGCAGAATTTCAATACAAAGAATCAAAACCATCAATGTTTAGGCTCTGCGTTTCACAGTCAGTCCCAGCAGTTCAATTCCCTTGGATTAGAAATAAATCAATTCTATCACTTCATGTCCCTTTACATAAGTACTTACTATTACTTCATTTCATCACACACATTCCTGTTCCTTTTAATTGCGATTAAATAATATCAGTGATATAAAATCTCAACTATGTAGTCATAACAGAAAGCAGCAACATTTTACTTCATGCCTCGGATCCTAGTACTTATTCAATTACCCTTCAAAGTCATTGCAAATTGACTGTGAAAGCACAGACTATTTGGCAGCAGCTTAGAGAACTATCATTATTTCTGTCAAGTTAGAAGATGACATGATCTTCCACCAAAATCCATTGATTCATGGATCCATTCATCCAAGATCCGTGATCTTTCTTTATAACCATCACTTCCAGAAAGACACATCTACTAATAAAAGCACGGCCAAGTTAATGAATTCAGCATTAAGGTGAAGTGTACAAAGCTGTGAGCTCTTTCAACCAGAAACAAACCAACAAAACAAACCAGAACTCAACTCTTCTGTCATAACTCAACATACAGGAACTGTATTCCCAGTCTTAAAGTATAAGTGAGATGGACTATAATTCTTTTTCATGTTTTATCAAATGTTGAAACATGCTTGCTTAAACAGATGTTGAGCTCTTGCCACTGACTCACCAGTTCAATATTCACCTTGTGGCAGAAAATATGCATGAATGAATAATGTCATAAACATTGTGCTAATCTATTAAGAAGTTAAGGTGACTAAAGACAAATTCTTTTCAAATTTGGAAAATTTGAAAATTTCCTCAAATTTGGATCCAGCTAGAGAGGAGACTTTGAACACCACCAAGTTTCACTTTACCCTTCGAATGCCTTATAGAATGCCCAATGTGAAAAGCTTTCTCTACTGTGACAGCTTTGGCTTCCACCTTTCCACCTTTTCCACCATCATCACAACACCCATATTTCACCCAGGGGAAAAAAAATAATAGTAAAATAAAAGTATTTGAGGCTTACAAGCCTGGTGTGTCCTATGGCAATGATGAAATCAAAAAAAGGTTCCAGTCCTCCTTGTTGAGCTGGAGAGTTTTCCTGAACCTGTAAAACATACATTTATTATTTTTTTATTACACATTGATCTCTAGTTACAGTAAGTGACAGTGTTAATCTTTACACTTAATTCAATATTTACTTCTGAGCTGAAGCAGAGATAAGACACCAAATGGCAGACCTCAGGAACTTGCTTTTATGAAGCTAGGAACAACAGGTGTCGAAATTAAGCTGTAAGGATTTTCTTGCATGTTACTAATAGCCTGAGCATATTAAGCATCCCCAATTACATCACAGCCATTTTTACATAAACACAATTTACAGTTAGATTCCCACAATTTATAATGCATTAGAGTAGGAACACTTAAAAGGGCATGCTATAAACGATGGCTAACCATGAACACTGGTCAAGAAGATTGCCATCACTTACAATAGATTGATTAGAAATAAGAGTTGCAACATCTCAATTTCCTTATAACAACATTATCATAACACAGATGTAATAAAGAAATACAAAGAATACTTATTAAAATGCATTCACACCAGGATAAAACCCACCAAAAGTTACACAGAACTTGATATATGCAGAGTATATGAGATTATACACACTTCAAAGTATACTAACAAAGCAGCACAGTATCAAGGGAACCATTGCAAACCTACTAAAAGTTTGCACTTCTTTTAACTTTACGTTTTGTTAACTCAACTGTACAGCCCTTAACCCGCAATATATTTGACTCCTGAAAGCCACCCCATGATTTAAGTGCTAAATTACAACCCATGCATCATCTAAACTAAAAAGTTCATTTCTAGCAACGTTAAAACTGCTCCATCCCATTTCAGGGAGGAAGACCACCAACTAAACCAAGAGGTAACTTCCCCAACAACTGTTACTTATCAGCAATACCTCTGCCTATCTTTAAGCTCCAAGATACGCGTTTAAACAAAGGTGTGAGCAAACAATAAGCCAGATAGAGGACTTGGAACAAACTTGCATATACGTATATATAGTGCCTGTGAGAAGCAGCCCCTCAGGAAAACACTGGCTGGTGCAGGAATTAACTCCCCAGATTCTGTACAGATCCAAATAAAACTTAGTCACATCTCCAAGTCAAGGGAATTTGGAGGGGTGCGGGGAGACAGGACTATATTCATAGAATGGTTCGGGTTGGAATGGACCTTAAAAGTCATCACGTTCCAACCCCCTGCCCTGGGCAGGGACACCTCCCACTGGAGCAGGTTGCTCAAAGCCCCATCCAGCCTGGCCTTGAACACCTCCAGGGATGGGGCAGCCACAGCTTCTCTGGGCAATCTCTTCCCGTGTCTCACCATCCTCACAGTAAGAATTTCTTCCTAATACTTAACCTAAATCTTCTCTCTTTCAGTTTAAAACCATTACCCCTCACCCTATCGCTACACTCCCTGATAAAGAGTCCCTCCCCATCTCTCCTGTAGGCCCTCTTCAGGTACTGGAAGGCCATTATAAGGTCTCCCCAGAGCCTTCTCCAGGCTGAACAACCTCAACTCTCCTAATCTGTCCTCACAGAAGAGGTGCTCTGGTCATCTTTGTGCCACTCCTCTGGGCACACTCCAACAGGTCCATGTCCTTCTTACGGTGGGGGCTCCAGAGCTGGACACAGCACTCCAGATGGGGTCTCACCAGAGCAGAGGGGCAGAATCCCCTCCCTTGCCCTGCTGGCCACGCTGCATTTGATGCAGCCCCAGATAAGGTTGGCTTTTTGGGCTGCCAGCACACATCACCAGCTCATGTTGAGCTTCTCATCCACCAACATCCCCAAGTCCTTCTCCTCAGGGCTGCTCTCAACCCATTCTCCGCCCAGCCTGTATTTGTGCTTAGGATTGCCCCGACCCACGTGCAGAACCTTGCACTTGGCCTTGCTGAACTTCACGAGGTTAAACTATTTCAAATTCATCTAAAGAAACCCAAAAGGCTCCCCTGGGCTGTCCAGCAGCCGAGACACGGCAAGTCGTGGCTCCGAAGCCGCCGGTGGGGGGGGGCCGTGAGGCCGCGCTGGGCGGGTTCCCCCCCCCGCCGCCACCACCGGCAGCGGTGCGGCCGCTCCTCCCCTGCCGCCGTGGCAGCTCCCCGGAGGGAGCCGACAGGTGCGGGGAAGGCGGGGGGGCAGCCGGACAGACCGCGGGCCCGCCGCCCCCAGCCCAGCCCCCTCTCCGGTGCCGGACTCGGCCTCCCTGAGGCTGGAGACGGGGGTGAAGCGGGACTCCACGCCCCGACGGCCGCCGCCTCAGCGCCGGTGGCTGCCTCAAGGCCCTCCCCGCCTCACCCCGTGTACGTGGAATCCCTCGGCGCCGCCGTCGGGGACCTCGGAGCTCGAGCCCAGCCCCATGCCCACCACCGCGGGAGCCCGGCCGGGCAGGACGCTCAGGCGGCGGCGGCGGCAGCCAGCATCGCCCGCCCGCCGCTCCCTCAGAGGAGGGCGTCGCAGGCCTGAGCAAACGAGCGCCGAGCACAGCGCCCAAGCCGGGTGGAGGAAGATGAGAGATGAGATCTACCCCACGCCCTGGCGTGACGCGGAGACGCCCTTAGCGACGGCGCAGGGGGCGGGGGAAGCGAGGCGTTGCTGGGTGAGGGCGGGGCGCGCGAGGCGCTGGGCGGGAAGCGGCTGAGGGGGGGCCCTGAGGAGAAAAGGCCGAGGGGCCGAGGGGGAGCCCTGAGGAGCAACGGCTGACAGGGAGCGAGTGAGGGGCCGAAAGGAAGCCCTGAGGAGAAACGGCCGACAGGGAGCGGGCGAGGGGCTGAGGGGTTTATACTTGAGCGGTATATTCTTGGGAAGGGTCAGCGTGGCTCTGCTAACGGGGTGGCCCGTCCCACCTGTCTGTTGGGAATACCTAAAGGCATTAACAAACACACGGAAAGGAGCGATCACAAATCACAGAATGGTAGGGGTTGGAAGTCACCTTCAGAGATCATAGAATCATAGAATTGCCCAGGCTGGAAGGGACCTCCAAAGGTCATCTAGTCCGACCTCCCCGCAGTCAGCAGGGACACCCCCAACTAGACCAGGTTGCCCAGGGCCTCGTCGAGCCTCTCCTTGAATATCTCCAGGGAAGGGGCCTCAACCACCTCCCTGGGCAACCTGTTCCAGTGCTCCACCACCCTCACAGTGAAGAACCCTCTCCTCATCTCCAGTCTAAATCTGTTCCCCTCCAGCTTGAAGCCATTGCCCCTCGTCCTGTCACTGCAGGCCTTTCTAAACAGGCTCTCCCCAGCCTTCCTGTAGGCTCCCTTCAGGTACTGGAAGGCCGCTATTAGGTCTCCCCGGAGCCTCCTCTTCTCCAGGCTGAACAACCCCAGCTCCCTCAGCCTGTCCTCGTAGCAGAGGTGCTCCATCCCCCTGATCATCCTTGTGGCCCTCCTCTGGACCCGCTCCATCAGGTCCATGACCTTCTTATATTGAGGGCTCCAGACCTGCACACAATACTCCAGGTGAGGTCTCACCAGGGCAGAGTAAAGTGGAAGAATTACCTCTCTGGACCTGCTGGCATCATCGAAGGCCAACCCTCCTGCCAAAGCAGGGTCACACAGAGCAGGTTGGACAGGAACGCATTCAAGCAGGTTTTGAATATCTCTAGAGGACTCCACACCCTCTCTGGGCAGCATGTTCCAGTGCTCTGGCACCCTCAAAGTAAACAAGTTTTTCCTCACATTCAGATGGAATTTCCCGTGTTCCAGTTCGTGCCCATGGCCCCTTGTCCTGTCACTGGGCACCACTGAGAAGAGTTTGGCTGTGTCCTCTTGACACCTGCCCTTTAGATGTTGATAAGCATTGATGAGGTCCCCTCTCAGTCTTCTCCAGGCTCAACAAACCCAGGTCTCTCAGCCTTTCCTCATCAGAGAGATGTTCCAGTCCCTTGATCACCTTTGTAACCTCCACTGGACTCTCTTCAGCAGTTCCCAGTCCTTGAACTGGGGAGCCCAGAACTGGACACAGTGGCCCAGATGTGGCCTCACCAGGGCAGGGTAGAAGGGAAGGATGACCTCCCTCCACCTGCTGGCCACGCTCTTAAAAATGGACCTCAGGAGATCACTGGCCACAAGGGCACGTTGCTGGCTGCTGGTCGGCTTGTTGTCCACCAGGACTCCCAGGTCTCTCCCTGCAGAGCTGCTTTCCAGCAAGTCAACCCTCAACCTAATCTGGGCGCTCGGTGCTTGCATATTCAGTTTGTCAACTTACACGAAGCTCAGAGATGTCAAATTATTAACCACCATTGCATAGCAGGATTTGTGGTCATCACATTATGGTATTCTTAAGAAGAGAAATCAAGTTTTATTTTCATTTCACCTTGAAGACGATTCTGTGCTGCACTAAAGATTTGTTTTGACTGGGTGTTGCATGGGTGTTTCTAGAACATTGGCACGAGGGTATTTCAGACACTAGAGGAGAACACTAATTAGTAGATATTTCTTCTGTCAAGGTAATAAATTTTAGGAATACAAAGGTCCCGAAAGACACAGAACACTTACAGCTCACACAGGAGTGACACAAGGTCCAGCAGCAGTTGGGACTGAGCTGAAATCCTGTCCTGTAAATAGGACATTTGCACCTGATATCAGTGGAGAATTTTTCCGTATGTCTTTGTGGAAAAATAATTAATTTTTTAAAGATATAATTTCTAAAGGAGGAAAGCTTACTATTTTACCTTCCAATCTGGCAAATGCTGAACAATTTTGATTTCAGTAGCACAATCTGATAAGCTACTGACCTGTTTGTTTCAGGATTTAGGAGGTTCATTTGATTTGACTGGTTTTGTCATTACATGACCTTTCAAAATTTAACACATTTCGCACATTTTTGTTTTTAGATAATGATGCTTATTTAGAGCTGGAAAACAAAAATAAACAAAAAAATGCAGGGCCTAATGAATTATATTGTGCACGAATGTTTTTATGGCTAATGGATAAAAAAGATTAAGGACTTGACAGGATGCTGAAAATGTTGCCTGGATCTAGAGAGGTAGGGTGTAAGTGGGATTTCATCCATAACAAGACAGAAGTACTCACTACTTAAAAAGTAAAATGAGATCATCAGACATTTAGCCAAATACAAGAAAATATAAATATGCAAAACCTAATGTACACTGTACCTAGGATTATAATTATCTAGATTACATTTTTTGTTTACAATAAAATCTGGGAAAATTAGTTGATTCTTTTTTTTTAGTGGCTTTTCCTACATTAATCCAAAACTCTTCTGACGAGGAAGATTTATTTTTTTTTCTGCAGCGGGAAAATAAAATAATGGTTAGGGGTAAAACTGTTTCATCAGGTCTATGTACATTTGGATGCAACTTTAGAATTACTTTGATGTAATTATATACCAGAGGCAGGGAGTCTGGAATTGAAAGGCTTTCTGAACAGGTCTTACAGACTGCTCCCCTAAAAGGCAAATCCTGACCTACTGAGAAAGAGGTACAAGGAGTTTAAGAAGAGTTTCAAGCTTCTTCTTCCTGTGTTTCTTTCTGTGCTTATTCTTCCCTCATGAATGGTGTTATATAGGAAACAGTCTGCATTTAAAAGAGTTTCTGAAAATAAACAAAGAGAATTGTCCGGTCCCGTTGGTGACAGCGTGCAAAGGTTACCTACCTGCATATTGGTGTCGTTAAAACTGGCCACTACATAACTGATGGATGAAAATCGTTGTGAAGTTTCTTAGTAAACACTTTTTGAAATCTTACTTTTTAAATTTGATTCTGTTAATCATATATTAGACAGTAACAGGATTATTTTATTGTTAGTAAATGGCTAAGAGATTCTATACATTCTCCAAAATACGTTGTTAACAGAGGATTTTCCTTTTATAATAAAGAGGTCAGTACATGATAAAAAGCAGCTAATTGGTAATGCAGGGTTAAAAACATAACAATTGGCAGGTCATTAGAAATATATTCTGATTGTTATGAGGCTTTAAGCCACTAGAAATAATGCAGCGTTACGGCATTTTCGCACAACGATATCTATATGAGGTCTTTGCTTTTGCAGATACTGAATTTTGAAAGAAATATCAGTTATCATTCATGGTAATGGAACTAAAACAATGTAACGTGGAAGTGACAGATTCTGCAGAGTACTGTAAAATTTAAATACTTATTTTTTAAAGCTCTTCGTGTGCTTAGCAGTTACAGCTTGCTTGCAATATCAGTCTTTTCTAAAGATTCATATGTAAATGAAAGCTGATATGTGAAAGGTGTGCTGACCCTTCTAAAATACATTTAGATGTGTAGATGTAGTATAAAAAGCTGCAGCTGAGTGAGTTGTAGGTTCTTTTTTTTCAATCAGTGGAGAAAAACAGGCACTTCCTGGCTGTAACTTTTATAATTAAGAATTTCTCATCCCCGTTGTACAGGTAATAGTTCAGTATGGCAGAAGAATTGCGTAGTGTGAATAAGGATCTCTGGCCTCTTTCAGAACTGTTTTCTGTTGAACTCATCAGAAATTATAAAGGAGTAAACATTCAAATTCAAAATTTCGAAGGAGTGAATGTTTTCAAATATTAACATCTGAACTCAGTATTCAGAAGCAAGCTTGCAATTCAGAGGAAATTCTGTGAATAAGTTTAATTTTAAAAAAAAAATAAAAGATGATGAAAAATATTAATGGAAGATTAGTTCTTTGCTCATTATAAATACAAAATATTTGTATAATAATATGCATATAATAAATTTTAAGGTGATCAAAGAAGTTGACCCTAAACAAGCAGTAATGTTTTGGACAAAATAATTGAAATTAAGCATTACTGAGGAGAGATTACAGAAATTCATTATTCAAAAATAGGAGGAACAGCATCTGGTAGATCAAACCTGTTTAAGCTGCATTTTCTTAAGGAGATTAACACCATGTGGAACTTGTGCAGATGATTTACAGGACCTTTATTGTCCTAAAAAAGTGTTGTTGTCCATCTCTTAAAGACGCTAAACTTACTTCAAAAGATACATTTTATTGCTTGATCTCTTTGGAAGAAAAAGTGAACTTGACATTGAGTTGGAAGCTACTTGATGGCAGTATTGTCCTTGGTGGAATGGTGCTTATTAGGGTGGTGTTCAGGTCAACATTATGATGTCTACATAATGCCTATGGTCCTAACACATTTGCTTAAAGATGGGTTTTCAGTGCCAGTGAGGATGCCTCGGGGCACTTGAGAAATCTGAACAAGCTCGTTGTTACACAGGAATGACAGGATACTAGTGCTTTTGTGGAACAGTACCCCGAAAGCGGGGTGAGATGCTGCATGGCATCTCAGGTGGCCCAGGACAGCCACGTGCAGGTCAATGACAACAGAGAACACTGAAACCTGTCCCCTTGGAGCAGCCAGGATCACTTTCTTCTCAGAAAAAGCTGGCACCACTGATTAATGCCCAGTTTGCTGAGCACTACCTGAGTCAGAAGGACTATGTACAAGCTACTGAGAGCTGTAAAAATGCTTTAACATATACTCCAGCAGAGAGTACAGAAAATATTTTTAAAAATCTCAATCAACATCTCATTCATACTATGTATATACAAGGGAATAGACAGAAATTGTTGTGTCAGTGTGGTGTCTTGAAAAATACAGAAAAGGAGATATTTATTGATTTTTTCAAAAGCACAGAAGTGCCATGGGTGAAGGCTTAAATCATATTTCTGACATTGAATGGAATAAGAACCAAAAAGGAGCACAAACACGAAAAGGCAATTCAGCCACGTTAGCCATTTTTGTACTTATGTATCTATTCAATAAAATGTATCACATTGAAATATATTTAAAAATTCACGTGTACTATAGTAAGTTATCAGAAGAGAGTATCATATTACAAATGTAAAAATCAGGTCACACTTACAACAAAGAAAATTGCTCAGGTTTGTTCTCTACTCGCAGTAAAAGCTACTTCTTAAAGCCCATAAAATACTGGTTTGGAAAAGCTCCCATTTACATTTGTGAATGTTTGATACTCAGGGCCATTAACTGGCAGAAAATAGCATTGAATTAGCTATGAATTCCATCTACGCTTTTACTGAGAACTAATGATATGCAACATATTACAAGCTTTAATGTTTAGCAAACACATGCAGCTTCATTTAAATAGAACTGCTTTTAACATTTTCCAGGATTACACTGGTTTTCAAAGAGTGGCCATATTATTATTATTTGTATTTGATTTGTTCCACATTTCCTCTAGTTACTTATTCGTAATAGAAATAATGGTAGCCCCATCACTTCAGATAATTAATGATGCACAAGAAAAATCAGTAAAGAATATCCTTTGCTGATTATTCATAATTACTTGGGTACTGCAATAGTTGTGCTAATGGGGAAATCTATCTTTGGTGTAATTACAAAAGTAGATTGAATTGCATTGGAAAAAATTGATCTACTCTGTTTCTGTCTTCGATGATAGAACTCAATAGAGAGAAATAACAGGCTCTTGATACCTATTAAAATTGTTATCTGAATACTTCATTTCTAATTACTTCTCATTTTCTCAGATAATACTGAAGTTGGCTTATTTTAATTTGGATGATTGATTGTCAAGATCCAGTAACTGTTTTCCCGGTCTAAACGCCATCACTCTATTTTTACATGAAAGTACTAATAACAAAACTACTGATATGGTAGGATGGCATCACTAATTTTTTTCAGAAAAAGACATTAAAAAAGGAGTGACGTAATGGTCCTGCTCTTCCTCCTGCCTTGCTTCTTGCTATTTGGTCTCACCCGGTTCTTTGCAGAGGCTCTGAAAATCATCCAGTTCTGTGCCTGCCCGATTCAGCTTTCTGAAATGACAGAGAAATAACCAGCAAAAACATAAATATATTTTCCCCGGGTTAGTGGATCAAATCAATTTACTGTGTGAGAGGAAACGTTCCAGAGCTCAAGGCAAGTGAGCAACCTCGTTGCCAGGAGCAGAGTGATAACAAGTCGGGGTTTTTTGTAGCAACAAGCTGTTAGAGTAGCTCAACTGTGTACGTAACAGGACCCTTGGCACAGCTGACAAAGCCTGCCCCATCATCAGTTTTAAGCCATGTAAGTAACTGGAGAGCACATGAGTCAACACCCTAATGCTATAAGCTACTCTAATTATAAATCAGCCTTGCCAGTTGCTCAAAGAGGTTCTATTTAGATCTCAGTTGTTAAAGAAAATTCTATTCTTTACCATTATTGCTCGTCTCTATTTCATTTCTCACCGTAGCGCGGGTGTATCTTTGTGAGTTGTGTTAAACAACACAATCAACACCTGGCACGACCCATCTATTCTCTTGCTCCCCGCTTCATAAAGGGACCATTGTGCGTTTGGTAGAGCTCGTGGTTTCGCTGGGATTTCAGGGTGAGAGTGGGAGCATCAACTTTGACATTACGTTTGGAGAAATGTAGACATCTGTGTCCCAGAGAGAGATTTGGATTGGCAGGTTTTCAGCCACACGTACCATTGACAGAGTTAAAATGCATTCAGCACCTAAACAAAAGTACTTCATTAATTGCAGAAGACTCTTTGTCTAAGCATACAAGCAGAGAGTCAGTAGTTAAGCAGTCATGATTCAGGGCAAGAGTTGTGGTACTTGGGGAAAAGCAAACAAACTCATTCTCCTCCTTCCTTGGCAGAGTTTACGTGGTTGGTGCCTGATTTGTCTTTTTTTTAAATGGTTGATTTTGCATTAATCTGTGCATCAGAACCGGCAAGCACATGGTCTGTAAAACTGTAAACACTGTGAAGCTATAAATGAAAGGATGGCATATGTATGGTTGGAAGGTTCATCCCAGTGATCTGAAAGCTCAAAGTTTGTCATCTTGGGAATACCCCAAAGCCCTACATGAAGAAGATCCATCAACCGCACATAGTAACAGGTAGTATCACTTCTATAATATCAAAAACGAGGAACTGAAAGGTTCCCACCTTCTTTACCAGCAAGCAGCATTTAGCATCGTTTTTATCAGTGAGTGACTTGCCAAGATCTTCAGACATTAAAGCTGATGACCATGAAGTGGGGAGTGGGAGAAGAAGGGATGGGCAATTGTGTCCTAAGCGACGTAGCTCAAGCATGAGCCACTAGCAGGGGCCTGAGCAGCTGGCCCAGTGGGTATGGACCCAGATGAGCCTTCTCAGGGTTGTTTTGTCTCATTCATCATTTTCTCTTGATGTAGCAGTTCCCACCGAAATCTGATCCAAGGTTGAAGCTCCACTGTATCAGAGCTGACCCTGAACGCAGGCAGCTGAGCACCCAGGGGGTGTAGGACAGGGTTGTAGCACCTGCTTGTGCACACAGGTCCCATGCCAAGTGGGGTTTGCCAGCAGTTTCAGCTGATCCTGCTCTTAGCCAAGGACCTTCTTCTGTTTTGAGGGTACCCAGTAAGTCCAAGAGCTCAGCCCTTCCTTCCACGTCTTCTTGTAGATGTTTGAGGCCAGAGTCACCACCCCAGGCTCTGCTGTCCCTGTTCAACAGTGCTTGTGTTGGTTGTCCTTCTGGGTGAGAGCACACCTCCAACTTCTTAGCAGGAGAAATTCTGATCTTCAGTTAAAAATTGCCCCGCTGTGCATCTGAATACACGTTTGGCAACTGCTGCCATCTCAGATGCTTTTGTCACTTTTGCTGAAATGCTCTGCACTGCAAACATGGTTAACTGAATCTGAACTAGATGGGCATCTCCACCAACCAGTCATGAATACTTAGCACCTCAACATCCACAAGCGGAGGCACTCAGCCTTTTTCTGCTCTTTGTGCTGAGTTCCCTGAAATTAGCTGAAATTCTGTTCTTTGAGATATGTTTTTCTATGTATATTCCTTCATCTCTTGCTTTGAGGCCAGAAGTATTTTTCCAGAAATACTGATATTGTGAGAAACAGATATTGTAGGGCGTGTCCCTTTCTTTTTATATCAGCTTAAATGACATAAGAAAAAATAAGGAAAAACAGGGTGCCTTGTATATCTCACCAGTGCATACTACTGAGATTAAAAAAAATCAGTCTTGAATGTGTGAATTTACATGCAGGGAAAGCACAAATGTACATATTGGCAACACACCTAGAAATAGAATATTAATACCTAA